TCGATCTAGCTGGGAAGTCTTTCCTAACCTCCTTGCAGGTAAAGGGCATCCCTGACACACAGAATTTGTAGCTCTTCACAAATGAGGCTCTGCTTCTGAAGTGTTTCTCTCCAATGTGCTGCTTTTGGTGCTTGGAAGGTTGCAGTGAAACAGAACTGTTTCCCACATGCCCCATAGGTGTATAGTCTTTGCCTGTATGTGTTTCCTGGTGCTTAGCCAAGTGCAAAATGTTTCTCAAGACTGGGCTACACACCTCACAGGGATAAGCCTTCTGGGCAGACACAGCTGCTTTGAGAGCCCTGACCTGTGACACTCCTACAGAAAGCTCTGCTCAGAAGCGGCCTTCTTATTCTCTGCTCCACACTAACAACCTGAAAGGGATAAAATACTGGAGGAATCTATGTTGACTTTGGTTGGAGGGGGCTGCCCGTACACAAGAGTGTGTAGGACAAACTCAGGACAAGTCCATGGGACCGTCTGCAGGACCACAGAGTTAGTTCAGGATGATGATGAGGCTGCTTTGCTGTACTTGGGAATAAAGAGCACAGAATGGGGAAGGTTTCGCAAGGTGAAAGACACAACTATGGTGTGTGACATCTGGAGGAAAGAAGGGTCTACAACCTGTTTCTTTGCAAATATCTTCCAGCAGGCTCTTGTTTGCTGGTGATACACGAGCACTACGTAGAAGGGTATGTCCCAGACCAAGAAAATCTGACTGCAATAGAGCACCTTGTGTTCAAGGACTATTTAAAGATATGTGCACACCTCATGACATACTACATAGAGGTCAATGTTGGAGAGCACTGCACATGGAGCACTGAGAAAAACGGGTGAGACATGGAGTCTAGAGAGGTGAGGATTAGTCCTGCGTAGGATATAACAGCAGAAGTGACAAGCAGAGTTGACAGGCAAAATGTCAAGACTGGGGAACAGCAGAAATCAGGTGTGGCCACCGGCATTGGTACCAAAATACTAATCAAGTAGAATAGGGTGCTGCTATAATTTGAACACAGCCCTGAAATCATGCCCTCCCCTGGGTATCCCTCCTCAAGACCTCCTCAGGATCCTCCTGAATCCATCTTTCTGCAGCTGGATTAACAACCATTTGTGAACCACTGAAGGCTCTCCAAACTACTCCCAAGATGAGCAAATACCTGGCACCTGTATGATGCAATTACTAAGGGAAAGACATTACAAAAGAGAAGCCAGTAATGGGCAAGAACAACTCAGCACATGAGAGCCCACAGGAAAGAAAACTATTACAGAAAACTTCCCAAGACAGTCTTGTAAGAAAAGACCACAGTCCACATAAGTTGTAACCATGCCACTGATGGTAATTCCTGACATTGGCAGGCCTGAGGAAATGTCAGCTTGGGGAAGGAAGCAGACCTGGGGCACACAGGTGCTTTGGATCTGGACAAAGTCACCAGACCATGGAGAGGACAAGCAAAGTAGGATCAACTAGAGTGACTTCTAGATGTCCGACCCTGAATCCTTCCTTGTGAGGCTGCAGGGAAGCAGGTGTTGGAGCGGCTTAATGAAAGAGAGGGCAGCACACATACCTTAGCCCTTCAGCCACAGCACCTACTTAGGGAACTGGGGAAGGAAGTAGTGTTCATGCTCTTGATGTGGAAGAACAGACCAGTCCCTGGGGAAAAAAATGGAAGTGCAGAGAATATCTCAAGGGACAGGGGTGGATGAGAGGCCCTTACCCAGGGAAGTTATAAGTTCAAAGTTCTCCAGCATCACATCACGGTATAGGTGTCTCTGAACCTCATCAAGGAAACCTCACTCCTCCCAGGAGTACATGGCCACAAGGTGACAGTGCCCCCTGTCATGACAATGACAGATGAAACCACAAACAGCTCTTCTCATGAGTACCCACAAGCCATCTCATACACATCTATCCCACGCCCAACTCAGGGGACAAACCAGGCCCTGGTACAACTTGCACTGTTGTTTCCTCATGGGCTCATTGATCATGATGGCCAATCATCAGCAACAAGAGGTAGGTGGATAAATAGATGTCAAAGCTGTGACCCCAGCAGAGAGGTATTCGCCTGCTCCTGCAAAGCTATTCCCCTGATATGATCAAAGTCATGTAAGACTTAATACCAGAGCCCTGGGCCATCAAACATACTCCCTCTGCAAGTGCACATCATTCTTTAGACTGTACATCCCTCACATCCCTGGACAGCACAGCCACATAGCGACTGCCACCATGCCTCACTGCCCCACAAAACAGGCATCTCTCTGGCCTCCTCATATGTTACTTTTGTTTTAATCACCTCTTCTTTAACCCACTGGTAAGGGGGGAATTCCTGTCCTAGGGTTATGGGGATGGCCAAACACAAGACACCCAACCTCGGACAGAGGCAATGGACAGCAGTTTATTAATCACATATATTCACAGCCTGAGAGAGGCGGACACCACACCCCATATAGGGCCACAGGAATGTTGTACATTGGAAAAGAGTGAAAAACCAGAGGCTCTGAGCTGCAAGTTTTGGAGGATCAAGAGGTGGGGTACAGGGGCCGGCCCCATGGCAGAGTAGTTAAGTTTGCGTACTCTGCTTCAGTGGCCCAGAGTTTCACCGGTTCAGATCCTGGGCACAGACCTAGCACCGTTCATCAAGCCATGCTGAAGTGGCATCCTGCATAGCACAACTAGAAGGACCTACAGCTAGAATATATAACTATGTACCGGGGGGCTTTGGGGAGAAAAAAAAAAAAGAGGTGGGGTACAACCTGGTTCCCATGGGATGACACGAATGTCTTGTCTGAATAACTCCAGGGGCTAGTAGAGAACCAAAACTTGCTTCAAAGGGATAAGCAGGAACTGATCTAGTCTCCTTGATAAACAGGGAATGTTTGGCTAGGAGACCTTACCCAAGATTACAGAGTGGGGAGAGGAACTTGCACTCAGGCCATTCGAGGCCCTCTGGATTTCACCAGGGGTCAAGGCAGCACATAATAACGGGCTTTAATTTTAGGCCTTAAAATACAACTTTGCTGGGCCTGCCCGGTGGTGTAGAGGTTAAGTTCACATGCTCTGCTTCCGCAGCCTGGGGTTTGCTGGTTTGGATCCCAGGCGCAGACCTACACAGTGCTCATCAAGCCATGCTGTAGCAGGTGTCCCACATATAAAAAGGAGGAAGATGGGCACAAATGTTAGCTCAGGGCCAATCTTCCTCAAACAAAACAAAACAAAACAAAAAACAAAAAAAACCAACTTTGCAGAAAGCATCCAGAGTTGCTCGGCAAGTTCAAATAGGATCCAATACCAGCCCAGAACTCCCCTGACTCCCATTAGGGGTGGAAACACCTAATTCTTCTAGGAAAGCATCCCTGCCTGTCTCTGTTCCTTGCCTGAGACTTAGCCACACAGAACCACTGGATCTCAGATACCCATGACCCTATTCCATTTCTGTATGGCACTTGCTGTCCCCTTAGCAATGACAACGTTCTCTGTTCACCTAACCCTCATTCAAAGCCCAGCCCCATTTATTGTCCACCTCAGGTCTAGTGATTCTCACAGATGACCATATTTGTTCCTGACCATGCCCACCAAGCTGAATGAAACACCCCAAGCCCCACCAAAGACTTCAGAAAATCTTGGTGAGTCCATAGAGTGATGAATAAGCAACAACTCTGGCCTGAGTGTCATCTTGTCTCAATTATTCCTATGCCTCTGCATCCATCTCATGTCCACTCTTCTCTTGGAAGCCTTGGCCACCTGCCAGACTATCCTGTCTGATACATTCTACCTTCATAGCCACTCACCTCCCTCATCTGCATTTAAGAAGCTCAATACCATCACTCAGGTACCCAACCAAGAGATCCAGTGTTGACCCCTACCCTCTATGTCCTGGCCCCCGAATAGAATTACAACTGTAATACAAATATTACTCCTCCTAAATGTAACCACAGGTCACTTACTCAGATCCACATAGTCGCCATCACACTGAATGTCTCCAACTTGAATCCCTCCTTTGATTTCCCAACTCTACATCCAGCTGCCAATATGATGCCTCCACACAGTGGAAATATCTCTTAAATACCTCAGATTCAACATGGTCAAAGCTCCTGTTACTCCCAGTGATTATTACTTCTACTACCAATTTCCTCATCTCACTTGGCGCTTCCATTCCTACTGCTGCTAAAATCAAATATCCTGGGGTTATCCCTCATTTCTGTTTCACTCCCTCGCATTAGAAAATCTCGTGGCCCTTTTTAAAAATATGCATCCAGAATCCAACCACATCTCCTAAATCATGGCTCTGGTCCATTAACCCTCAGCTAGACTATGGCAGTAGCCTCCACCCTGGTCTTCCTTGTTCTTCCCTCACTCCCACGGTCTGTTCTCCACTTTATGGTCAGATAGACCCTGGTAAGATCTTAGACCTTGGTAACATGACCTCCCTCCTCTGATCCAAACCTCCTATCACCTCCAGAACAGACACTCAATTTCTCAGGCAATTATTCCTGTCCTGACTCCTGTCTCCTGTTCTTTGTTCATACCAGAAAAGGAGATCTGTGGTTTCCTCAACACTCTCAGCTGGGTTTTAACTCTAAGTGTTTACATATCTTGTTACCAGCTCCTGGACTGACCTTCCACACTTGTTTACACTGGTTGCCAATAATGGGAACACTTTCATATAACTCCTAGCATAGACTTAATAGGATCTTGGGCTTGGAGTTTCTCTAGGGTGCCCAGACCCAAGGACCAGGAAAATGGCACATAAGAGTCCTAGGAAACAAAATCCAGAGAACATCTGAGTGGTGGTCAGGGCCAGGAAGGGACGAGGACACCCTCTACATACCTGTGTTGGTTCCATAAGTGCTTCTGCAGCGTTGGGACTTTGTGGGAAGAGGCAGGCCTTAGAAAAACGCGACCGTGTGTGTGCGATGGGCTGTGCCTTCCCTGGCCTTGGAGCCAGGTGACCTCAGGCTAGCCGTCTAACCTAACCTCGGCCTCAAGGCTCAGGGTCGACTCTTACCAGCAGTGTGAGGGTGAACAGATTCTAGTGCCTCCATGTCTTCATCACTCTCCTCGACTGTTTTTCCTTTGAGCAGCCTTAGGAAACATTTAAAACGCTAATGTGAATCATGCTCCTTTGTTCAAAACTCTCCATGGCTTCGCTGGTCCTCAGAATAAAGACACAACCTGCTATTCTAGGCTTAACCCCACCTCGCACTCTGTCCCCTGCAGGCAGAGGGCAGACCCCAGCTTCCCACCCCCGCCCGGGACCCTCGCCCGCAGCCCGGCCCCCGCCCGCAGCCACAGGCCCCACGAGCGCCTCCCCGGCCCGGCCCCGGGGCCTGGGCTGCAGGCCCGGGAGCAGCGCCCGCCCGAGGGCTGAAGCTCGGGCTGCGCTGCGGGCGGGGCGGGCCGGAGCTGAGCGCTCACCTGAGCCGGCTCCCTCCGCGCGGCCGCCGCCATCGGCCTCGGGGGCGGAGCGGGGCGGGGAACGGCGGGAGACGAGGCGCCGGGCGCGGCGCTCCCTGGCCCGGGCCTGGTGCCTCCTCGGTCCCAGGACCTCAGCTCCCATCCGGCTATGGGGAAACTGAGGTAAACCCACCAGAGTTCGGCCAAAACGGCGGCCACGGGGAAGATGCCGGAAGTCCCGCCCCGACGCGATGATGGGTACGCACGAAAATCCCTTATCCTAATCCTTCATTCACTCCTCCCTGCGGCCTCCTGGCGCAAGATCTTCTGGGTAATGTAGTTCCTAGAACTCTAGCGGGGCAGCGAAGAGCGTTCACCATGACCGACCAGGCTATTGGCTGCGCGGCAGTAGTAGGGAAGCAGGAAAATAGTGCTTCTACCTCAAGGGAGGGATGGGTTTGCTCGTTGTTAAAGGCAGAAGAGAGACATTATTTCAGATTCCGTGAAACTCAACCTACTCCCAGAGGATAAAAATATTATTCGAGATGCTCCCAGATCTACTCGTGTAAATGGCCATATCATTCCATAGTCATTAAGACATAAAATGAGTCCACACGTAGCTGGAAACGTTATGTTACTGCTCTTCAAAAGCATGTAGCCTGAAGCGTTATTCACTGTTGTGCGCTTCGTTATGTTTTGTTAGGAAGAAGAGAAAAGACTCCATAGGGGACCATGAGGGGAAGGAAGAAGAGGGATGTTACCCTACCCTGAACGAAGCAGGTGGACAAGCAGGAGCCCTGCCTCTGGTTCCTAGAGACAACTGCTCCCTTGCCTGTATCATCAACGATTGTGTCCTAACCACTGAGGAAAACTTTTTTTTTTTTTTTGAGGAAGATTAGCCCTGAGCTAACATCTGCTGCCAATCCTCCTCTTTTTACTGAGGAAGACTGGCCATGAGCTAACATCCATGCCCATCTTCCTCTACTTTATATGTGGGACGCCTACCACAGCATGGCTTGCCAAGTGGTGCCATGTCCGCACCCGGGATCTGGGCCAGTGAACCCGAGCGACCGAAGCAGAACGTGTGCACTTAACCACTGTCCCACCGGGCTGGCCCCTGAGGAAAACTTTTTATCCATATATATTTCTTACTCCATATCCGAAGATATGCTCCGTTTCTTTTAGCAATCTGACATCTCAAGCTGAGAGCAACTTAACTAATGTTATCTTTTTTCTAATAGATTTTATTTTTTTAGAGCAATTTTTGCAAAATTGTGCAGAAGGTAGAGAGTTTTCCCCTATACCTCTGGTCTCCACACATGCATAGCCTCCCCCATTACTAATCTCTCCCACCAGAGTGGTACATTTGTCACAATTTATGAACCTTCATTGACATATGGTTATCACCCAAAGTCCATGGTTTACATAACAGTTCACTCTTGGTGTTATACATTCTATGGGTTTGGACAAATGTATAATGACTCGTATCCACTATTATAATATCATACAAAGAAGTTTCACTGACCTAAAAATTCTCTGTGCTTCACCTATTCATCCCTCCCTGTAGTTTAAGGGCCTGACCACAAGCTTTTTATTGCCAAGGCATCCATTTCAAAGACTCCCATCTGAAATAAACATATTTCCAGCTGTAGCTACAGCTACTAGTAAAACAACTAGATAAGAAACCAGGCCGCCCCACCCATGAAGTTTTCCTTTTATAAAGCCTTGGGTAACCTAGGTAACTGGCCATTTAAGTAACCCTGTTTTTCCCTCCTTGAGTCCTAATTCCCACTCGTATGCTTTAAATTTTCCAGTAAAGAGTGAACGTGTGAAACCTTAGTCAGCCCACCCTCAATCCTAATAAACGCAGAGCCCCAGATCCATGCTTCCTCCCTCTCTCTCTACTAGTGATCTTGTAACCAGGGGCCCATTTATAGCCAGTTCAAACAGACCTCATTTCTTATCAACAAAGTGATTAAGGATTGTCTTTCAGAAAATCTGCAAAGTCACGTAGCCAGAGCAGGTGCAGAAGAAATATTGACCCCAAATGACTGCAGAACCAAAGATCCTCCTTCCCACAGACCCCAAGGAACAGGACAGGACTAGAATTTGAAAGTCAGACTCTCATCAGAAGTGAGGGGTCCCTCATTCAGGAAGATCTGGTGTTAAAATTCCTTCCCCACCTAATAAAAAACATTCAGAACCCTATCATAAAAGTTTAGAACCTCATCATACATGTTTAGAACCCTGTCATAAATGTTTAAAACCTTACCATAAATGTTTCAAGCCTGCCAATCAAGGCCTGTCTTGCCAGCATTTCCAAGTGCCAGCCTGTTCTCCATAATCTCTTAAATTTCGCCCCAAATCCTGAATCAGGATTCATGCCCCCTGTCTCCCTGCAGGTCAATCTCACAGAGTAAAGCTGATTTCTCCCCCAAAAGCTGATGCTGTATTTAATTGTTTTTTTTTTTTTTTAACATACATCAGGCAACAAAACCCCAATTGTGTGCAGTAGCAACCTCCCTGTGTGGCTCTTGGGTGTACTGTGTATACCCCAGAAACTGTGAATGATAAGTCTTGTTTTTTCAAAGTTCATTGATGGTTTTGCTGAGATGTGTCCTACAATCATAATAAGAACCACAAGGACCAGTCCAGCCACAATGTTGGCTCTGGGGAAATGTCTGTGAGGGCTGCTACAAGTCGTATTGCCCAGGTGAGTGCCTCAGGCATTTCTAGGTGATTGCATCACTATGGATAAGCTGAGACCAACACAAAACCCTCCCTCCTTCCCTTACCCCAACCATTGGTATTTTGTAAAGGGTAAATGCCTGCACCTTTCCCAGTCTAAGCATGGGTACAAAGAGAGCTGAACTCTGAGATAGACAGAGCATCTGAATCCCATGATCTTCTCTCATTGCTGGGAAGTGATTATCATTTTCTAATAATTGCAGGCACAGTTCTGCATGGGGAATTGAGATTATCTCCAAAAAGTTTTGAAATGCAAATTTCAGAAAATTGGTAATAAAGTTTATGCAGTTATTTGAAGAGTCAGAAATAGCTCTGGGGAGATGTCAGGGAACTTTGAAGAAAGTTAAGATCTTAGAGAATTTTTAGCAGGGCATTACTTCTTGAAAACATTAAGCAATACTAGCTTGAAGGGAGAGTTGAAGTGGACATTTATAGTAGCCAGATTAACAAAAATGAACAACAGGCTGATGTGTCATGTTTATTCACAGCTCTAACAAACGTTCATTGAGCAACTACTCAGTTTTAGGCACTATGATTGGTGGATAGGAGACATTACGACACAAGAGAGACAATGACCCCTGTCCTCATGCAGCTTACATTTTTCAAAAGACACATGCAGGTAGAGGCTGGCCCAGTGGTGTAGTAGTTAAGTTTGTGCACTCTGCTTCAGCGGCCCATGGCTCACCAGTTCGGATCCCAGGCACGGACCTACACACCACTTATTAAGCCATACTGTGGTAGGCATCCCATATATGAAGTAGAGGAGGATGGGCATGGATGTTAGCTCAGGGCCAATCTTCCTCAGCACAAAGAGGAGGGCTGGTGGCTAATCTTCCTGAGGAAAAAAAAGAAAAGAAAAGACACATGCAGGTATTATGAAAGAAAATTACAGGGACCAGCCCTGTGGCCGAGTGGTTAAGTTCACGTGGTCTGCTTCGGCAGCCCCGGGTTTTGCCAGTTCGGATCCTGGGCGCGGACATGGCACTGCTCATCAGGCCAGGGTGAGGCAGCATTCCACATGCCACAACTAGAAGGACCCACAACTAAAATATACAACTATATACTGGGGAGATCTGGGGAGTAATAAAAAAAAAGCAGAAAAAAAAAAAGATTGGCAACAGTTGTTAGCTCAGGTGTCAATCTTTAAAAAAAACAAAAAGGAAAATTACAGGGACCAGCCTGGTGGGGCAGCGGTTAAGTGTGCACGTTCCGCTTCAGTGGCCAGGGGTCCACCGGTTTGGATCCCAGGTGTGGACATGGCACCATGTGGCAAGCCATGCTATGGGAGGCGTCCCACTTATAAAGTTAGAGGAAGATGGGCACGGATGTTAGCTCAGGGCCAGTCTTCCTCAGCAAAAAGAGGAGGGTTGGCGGCAGATGTTAGCTCAGGGCTAATCTTCCTCAAAAAAAAAAAAAAGAAAAAGAAAATTACAAAATTATATAGTAAGTTATGTCAATTTACAAAAACAAAAACCAGTTTAAGAGGCAAAGTGTCTATTTGGCATCAAAGAATTGCAATTCAGGAAGCACAGATTCAGGAAGAAACCCAAGTAGTGTCCCAGTTACAGAAGGGATTACAGCTTTCATGGGAGAAAGAGAGGATGAGGTGAGTTGTATTAAAGAGTTCATTGGTACTAAATGAGTTAAGGCTAGGTTTGTACTTCATAGATTGGCTTGAGATTCAGTCATCAGGCAAAAGGCTAGACTTGTACTTCATTAATTGATTGAGATTCAGTCATCAGCAAAGTCCAATACTGTCAGTTCTTCCAAACAGTATATTCTTGTCCTGACTGACTTCTTGGAAGGTTGGTGGCGGTTTGGTCCATTTTAGAAGATAGAGAAAACAAGATATGCAAGGCAATTCCTCTGAAATGGTTGCTCCGGCTCTATTTTAATATGGCTCCATTCATGTCATGCTTCACAGTTAGAATGTGGTGGAAATAATAAAAACAAGAATACAAGGTGTTATGTCCTGAGAAGAATAGTATGGAATATAATACTATACAGCAGAGAAAGCTGGTTAGGGGAGGGTGCTCCTTAATAAGACGGCCACTAAGAAAATACTTGGAGGTGAGGGATGAGTCATGTGGGTATTTTCAAATAAGTTCAGGGCAGAAGACGAAGGTGACTAGCTGGCTTTGGTGGGTGGAACCCTCACAGCATTCAACGGCAGTGGGGGGGTTCTGGGACTCGAGCCCTGTTAGCCATTCATCTCCTTTGCTCACTGCAGAGACACTCAGGGGATGTGGGTAAGAAAACTTGGGTCTACCCCTTGGAGCCTACGATTCTCCACCTTAGTGGACTTGGGCCTGGAACCAGGCAGCCAGGACTTTATACAACTCTGGTTTTCATAGTTTGGTCCTTGGACCTTCACTATCAGTGTCATCCGGGGACTCATGGGAAATGCATCTTCTCAGTTTTGAATGCAGCCCAATTGAACCAGGCACTCTGGGAGTCAGGCCCTAGAATCTGTGTCTTAATAAGCTCCAGGTGATTTTGATGCACATGAAGACCATTCCAACCTTCTCTTGTGATTCCTGTGTATGAGGTGCCCGTGTTTCTTGTAATTAACTGGAACCACTTGTAAACCTGCAAGATTTTTGCACTGAGCTTGCATAACGCATCAGTGTACATTTGTTTTCTAAAACTTTAAAAAGTATTACAAATGTCAAACTTTCAATGTTTTATTAAAGAGGTATTACACTATACACATTTATAAAATAGAACTTGAGTAGCTCTGATCATTTAGCTCCTGGAGAAAAACCAAGTTTGTAGTGTAGGATTATCCTTTCAGAACTGTGTCTGCACATGTGTGCATCACTCCTTGTATATGTCTGTGTATTCAAATATATTCCTATACATGTTATTTTTCTTAGTAAAAATCAAGGCATGCATTGTATACTGATCCATAGGTTGATTTTCTTACTTAATGTATGTTGGACAATCAACAGCTACTTCCTCATTTCATACCTGATCCCTCCTCATCTCCACACTTTGTGGACCTAAAGCTGCCTCTTTGTGAAGACTGCTTTCCATTTTGTTGTCTGCATGCTGCAAGCTGGCCCACACAATGAGGGAGCTGGACCAAGCCTACCCACAGGGCCCCTCCTTCCAGGCCACAGAAACTCCTAAAGTCTTTCAGAGTTTCTCCTTGTTGCTCAGGCCGCTCTCAAGTGTTGTCAGGGCTGAGACCCAGGACCAGGGAGTGTCTCATGAAGGCCAGGAGGCTGGTGATGCTGAACTAGGCCTGGGGAACCAGAACTGTCCCATCTTGCTTGTAGGGTAAGGTTGCTTGTGGTGCCCAACACAGTGTTCAGGAGGGCCACATCCTGCCAGCTGCACCTTGCCTTGCAGATCTGTCCCTGAGATTGTCCCAACATGTGCGACTGGCACTGCTCGGGTGCTAAAGTGGGCCTCTGGGGCCAGCAGTGAAGATGCTGCCTCTGGAAGGGAAAGCTGGGATTCAGTGGCTGGAGGTGCCTGTCTGCACCTGACCTCTGATGTGAGAGGGAGGGTCTCCATCTCTGTGGTAGGGGCATTGAAAAAGCCTGGCCTAAAGCTTTAGATTCCCCCCCACCCCCACCCCCTAGTCAAAGGAAGGCCCCCAAGAGGACTCAGCTGCAGGATTTTCTGTTGCCTGCCCAGCCCTAATCTCTGAGTCCGTTGCCTCCACCCTCTGCTCTCTGGGTTCCACTTCCCTGTGCAGGTTTCGAAAGTGCCCTAGCAGGAGAATGGCAGGATGCAACCTCACCTCCTGTGCATCTGACTCCCATTACTTGGCTTCTTTTTGGACTTTGCAAATTGGAGATAAGTTTTGGTTTCCAACAGAAGTAGAAGCAAAAAGGAAGCTCCAAACTAAATCTCCCCAATTTTTAAAGAAACTAATTTATAGTTTTGTAGCATTTTTAGAATTATACAAATTGTGTCTCCTGATTGTATCTCTTTCGATGTTGAGCCTCATTATTTATTTGGTGAAGAAAACACATTAAATGGCAACTGTGTTAGCCTGCTGGAACTCCCATAATAAAATACCATAGACTGGTTAGCTTAAACAACAGAAGTTTACTTTCTCATAGTTCTGGATGCTGGAAGTCTGAGATGAAGGTGTCAGCAGGTTTGGTTTCTCCTGAGGCCTCTCTCCTTGGCTTGCATATGGCTATCTTCTTGCCGTGTCCTCACACAGCCTTTTCTCCTTGCGGGTGTACTCCTGGTGTCTACTCCTCTTCTTATAAGGAAACCAGTCCTAATGGAGCAGGGCCTCACCTTTATGACCTCATTTAACCTTAATTACCTCTATAAATGTTCTATCTACAAACACAGCCACTTGGGGGTTAGGGTTTCAAAATATAAGTATTATGTTAATCAGTGTTATTGGTAATGAAAGGCAGATGAGTTACTAAAGCTGAGTAATGAAGAGGAAAAGAGCATTTATTTGAAAGTAGCTTCCAGGTGCCAGTGGCTCATAACTTCTAAAAGAGACTTTTATAAAAACAGAATTTCCAAAAGCTGCCCACTAAATACTGTAAATGCATTACTTTTAAGAACTATTTAAAACAACAAAAAAAGCTTTAAATTAAAACAAATGCTAAAAGGTGCTAAAATATAGAGTTTAATAAAATAAATTTATTTCAGTTGAATACTTAGCACTTTTTATCATTAGCAATGCTGATTATTTATCCCAACTGATGAAACTCTCAGGCCCCGTCACCTCCGTGATGAATAGTTCTGATCGTTCTATTGGTTGAAGTGTCCTCAGATACCCGGCAGAGAAAGCCTTCACCTAGCTTCTCCGTTTCTTTTCTCACCATTCTCCCCATCACAAACTGTATGACAAAGGCATTGACCTTCCTTCAGTTCTTTGAATTCCACATGTGCCTTTCCAATTCAGAGTATTCCCCGGTCTTTTTTTCTTCAACTGAAACATCTTTTTGCCACTCTACTTTGTAATTTGAAATAAATCTTTTAGGTGTCAGTATAAATTTCCAGTCACAAGTAAGTTTCCCCTTCAAACTCCTAAACCCTGAACCTTCCTATACATGGTATCACAAAATTCTCTGAATCTCTAGTAAACAACATTATACAATTTACAAAATGATGTTTGAATAATTATGAGTAGCCTTCATGTTTTTATATGTTATAAACAATACAAAATGCAGTTATGATCATCCTTATTCAATTTTGAATCAAAATGTCCTTGGATGATTAAACAGCACAAAATGTGAGCCTACAAATACATAAAGTTGATTAAATAAGTGGTGAGATGTTCTAGAGGGAACTTATAGCCCAGAGACTACACTTGGAAACTTTACTTTCCTTGCCCAGCAGGCAAAGCAGAACTGAGAGGCATGGATGTCACTGCCAAAGAGCACGAAGGGATGAATGTCGGGGAGCCTGAAGACACCAGTGCAGACGTGTTCATCAGACCATGGCCTAGGTTCACACTCAGGGTTATCCAAAAAGACAAAACTGAAGAAAGAAAAGTAAAAGGAGAAAAACATGTTCACCAGGATGAGAATGGTGATGTGGCTTTTGTCTCACCAGGATGAGAATGGTGCCTTGGTCTCACGGGAAGGTCTAGGGAAAAGGCTGTTGCTACGAATGTGTTGGACTCACTGCTAATGTCTGTGCAGAACAAGTCTATCTTCTCCTACCCTCAGACGTGGGAGCTCCTGGATCTTGGTCCTTTGGACACTGGGATTTACACCAGCAGACCCTTGGTTCTCAAGCCTTCAGACTTGGACTGAATTAGACAATCAGTTTCCCTGGTCCTCCAGCTTGCAGACAGCTGATTGGAGGACTTCTCAATCTCCCTAACTATGTGAGCCAATTCTTATAATTAAAAAAGTTTCTTTTTATACTTGAGCTAACATCTGTGCCAATCTTCCTCTACTTTGTATGTGGGACACCGCCACAGCGCGGGCTGACAAGTGGTACAGGTCTGCGCCTGGGATCCAAACCCACAAATCCAGGCCCCTGAAGCGGAGTGTGTGAACTTAACCACTAAGCTACCGGCTCAGCCTGGCCAATTCGTATAATAAATGTCTTCTTATATATATCCTATTGGCTCTGTTTCTTTGGAGAACCCTAATACAGATCATATAAATTTCCGATGTAGATCAGTCCCTGTAAGCACAAAAGAAATGATACTCAATTCCCAGCAATGAGATAAAATCACAGATTTACAATATCCCCAATATTTCAGGATCCAGAGCACCACTGACATATATGCTTCACTTTGAACACTGCAGCCATTGTCCTATACCGAAACAGAATTGTTTCCTTGTTCCCCTTTTGAGATTGATGTTATCAAAGACAAATACAGCCAGACATTAATTAAAGAGATAAAAACATATTTTATTCAGTAACTACTGACAGTAGAGCAAAGAGTTGAACTCAATTCTGATTTGTGCAGAGGTGATTGGGCCTTTCAAAAGAATGAGGGAGCAGGGAGAACAGGGGTTCAGCAGAGTCACAAAACTGAAAAATTACAAAGGGTTTGTCAAGGTAAATGTGATTAGTGTGGCCGTGTCTGCTGGCCAGTAGTTGTGAAAGTTAGGATTCTATCCTTCCACAGAGACTGGGAGATAGAGGCCTTATCCTTCCTGACGACTACATTTCAAAGGAACAGCTCTCAAGTCCCTGAGAAAGACACTTTTGAAGTGCAAGAGATACATATTTACAATTTTAAGTCCTTCGTAGTAAAGGCTCAAAGAAAAAAGAGGTCAATCATCAGGTTTAGCTAGAACAAATAGTAACTTCTCCTGGTAGCCTTGAGCTTTCTCAGTCTGGCATTTTAACGGAGGCTGAGGTCAAAGGGGGGGCTGGAGGTATGCTAGAGACTAGGGCTTATGCTGCTAGAAGGCATCCTAGAGTGTGGGCAAGTCTCTTAGTGCAGGAGTTTGGACAGAATTCTTACGTGCTGAGTTCGGTTCTCAATGTCACATTTCTAAATGGATTAAAATGCTGCTCCTTGAATTGGACACAAATTGACTATACAGACAGAAGGGATGTTTCATGTGGGAACCACAAACAAATATCCATGTTTGTACCCTGGCTTCACGGTGGCCCAATCTCTCCTCTATCTTCCCTGTAATGACACTATCTGGAGTAGTTTTTTCCCTCCTCTCCTTGACCGAATATATACAGATTGATAAAACTGATTCGAGGTTTTCAGCGTGCATGCATTTGAACCGCAGTATAATATTTACTAGGCGCTTCCAGTGGACGCATATTGTATCTGAATGACGGTATGGAATATGTGCATTTGGATTTGTGGGCGTTGGGAGCATTTCAAATAATATTTTTACTCTTGGGAGCATGCTGAGCTTCACGGTGTCTGATATCTGTCTACAAACAAGCGGGTGATCAGTTACCACGACACTCCCAAGACACCTGAATACACGCCCTTTAAGAACTGGAGCAGCGCCTTCACAACCCTTGGCCCAAAGTCACCGATTCCCGGCGCCCCTCCAGGCGGAACTCAGCCGTTTCTCCAGGAGTCCAGTAGGCAGCGCCCTTACCAGCAGCCTGGGATCTGTGGGAACCACATTACCCAGAAATCTAGGCGTCGAGCGACGGTGTCGTTGAGCCAATGAAGCCTCAAAAGAGAGGCATCTCCGTGCGCGTCGCAAAATGAGAGGGCAGAGATCCCAGCGTCCTGCGGACGGTCATTTTGGCTTCTCTCCCGACCAGAGACGACCAGGCTGAGTGCTGTTTCCACACCAAGGTGCTGGGACCGAGGCGGCGCCAGAGGAAGCACTGTCCCCGCTTCTCAGAGCGGGTCTGAGGCTCGGCAACACCGCCCAGGGCCCGCGTCAGGGCCAGAGAAAGCCTGCACATCCACCTCTGTGCCCTGAGCTAGTCTCTGCTGTTCCCCTTTTCCCCAGGAGCAGCTGTGTCCTCCACCCATCAGGACCAAGGTGTCTGCTTCCTTCTCCAGTTACCTGCGTAGGTGCTGTGGTTGGTACAGCTGAGGTGTGTGCACTGGCCTTGAGCAGGCCCAACACCTGCTTCTCTACAGTCCTGCCGGGAAGGATTCAGGTTCAGACATCTTGCAGTCAGCCAAATGAATCCAACCTTGCTTACCCTCTCCCTGGCCAGGTCACTTTGTCCAGAAATAGGGCACTTGTGTGCCCCAGGTTCTACTTTCTTCCTCTAGTTGACATTTCCTAGTACCTCCCCATGCCAGGATTTGCCATCACTGACATAGTACTTACTGGGACCATGGGCTCCTCTTGCAAGACCTTCCTTCCAAGTTCTCTTTGTAATAGTCTTCTTTCATGTGGGCTATCATGTCCTGAGCTGTTCTTGGCCAGTGCTAGCTGATCTTCTGTCCTGTCTTTCCCTTAATGATTATCCAGGTACCATGTAGTTGCTCATCTTGGGGGTGTGGAGGGCCCTTGGTGGTTCACAAGACGGATATGAGTTTAGCCACAGCAAGATGGGGTCAGGGGGAGCCTGGCCCTGAGGAGAGGCACCTAGAGGCAGACATGACGTCAGGACCGTGTAGAAATCATACCAGAAGCCTATTCTGTTTCACGAGTGTTTTGGTGCCATCACCAAGCCCACACCCCATTTTTGCCTTTCCTTCTGCATTCTTGACACTCTGCTGACTTGTCAATTCTACTACTAGTCATTTCTACTCTTACTTCCAGCCCGGGGCTAATCCTCATGTCTTTGGATTCTGGGTCTCACCCTTCTTTCTCACTGTTCCATCTGCAGTGCTTTCCAGCATTAATCTCTACATGTTGTGTCATGAGGTGTGCACATATTCTTAAACAGTCCTTGAATACCAGCTTCTAAGTGGCAGTCAAATGTGCTGGTACCTAGATATGCCCTTCAACACAGTGCTCACATGGGAACAGCAGACAAAATCTTGCAGAATGTTGTTTGCAGAGGAATGAATAGTAAACAAACCTCTCCTCCCTGTGTCACACCTCATGGTTGATGGTTGTATCTTTCACCTTAGGAAGCCTCCCTAATCTTTATGGGGCTGTACTACTATGCAGTCCAACACTCACTCTGAACCAACTCCCTGCTCCTGGAAACAACCCATGGACTCATTCCTGGGTTTGTCACACACACATTTGTGTGCATGTCACCCCCTGCCACCAATGCCCACATGCACATCAGCATTTCCCTGCTTTCAGGTTGTCTGCATAGAGTGGAGGATGAGGACTTGTCTTTTGAACAGAGTGTTTCTGTACAAGGAGTGTTGCATGTGACTCCTAAGACTGCTCCATCTCCCCAGAAGGCCCTGTGAGATGTGTGGCCTAGTTCTGAGAAACATTTTGTGCTTGGATGACCACCAGAGAACACATCATGGGCAGAAACTATACACATGTTGGGCGTGTGAGAAACGATTCTATTTCACTGTAAATCTTCATCAGCACCAGAAACAGCACATTAGAAACACTTCAGAATTAGGGTGTGGAGAGCCTTGTTTTTCCATGTAGCCTGCAAATTCCATGTATCACAGAAACCCTTTGCCTACCAGGAGGTTACAAAAGCTATCTTGACCAGCTTGGGGTTTCTCCACCAACAAGCCCCTAACACAAGAGAGAAGTCAAACTGTGGAGCTGAGTGTGGCACAGCCTTTCAGTGTAAAAACTCTTTCCACCTGGGGAGATTGCAAAAAGCTCTCAGCCACACATACTTGTTCAGCACCAGACTTCACTAGAGAAAGATGTGACGTGCAGTGAAGTGGGAAATCTTTCAGCAAAAGTGGTAACCTCACTGTCCCTTGGAGAGTTCACACTGGAGAAAAACCTGAGTGTGGGGAATGTGGAAATCCTTTAGTCAAAGTGTTGACCTCTTCCAACACCAGAAAGTTCACTGGAGTAAAACCTCACAAATGTGATGAATGTGGAAATTTATTTAGCAGAAAGTCCAACCTCATTATATATAGGAGAGTTTGTACTGGAGAAAGGCCATGAGTGTAGTAAACGTGGAAGTTCCTTTAGCTACATTATCTGGCCTCATTTCACACCAGAGAATTCACATTGGAGATAAGCCTTATGAGTGTGGGGAATGTGGGAAATCCTTTCACCACAGATCTGACCTCATTAAACACCAGATAGTTCACACTGGAGAAAGCCCTTATGAGTGCAGTGAGTGTGGGAAATTCTTTGCCTGCAGCTAGTCTCTTCCAAAACCAGAGTTCACAATCATCAAGACCTCACAAGTGTGATGACTGTGGCAAATTATATAGCAGTAAACAAAGCCTCATTAAACACTGGAGAGTTCACACACTGAAGAAGGATCAATCCTCCAGCCTCATAAAACACTGGAGAGTTCATACTGGACAAAGGCCATACAAATACAAAAAATGTAGGAAATTCTTTTGCGTAAGATTTGTGTTCCTTCAACATCAGAGAATTCACACTGGGGAAAGACCTTATGAGTGCACTGAGTGTGGGAAATTTTTTGCCTACAGCTCCAGTCTCTTCCATCACCAGTGTGTTCACACTCGAGTAAGACCTCACAAGTGTGATATATGTGGCAAATTATACAGCACCAAGAACAGCCTCATAAGACATTACAGAGTTCACACTGGAGAAAGTCCTTATGTGTGCAGTGAATGTGGACAATCATTTAGTCAATCTTCCAACCTAATTGAACACCAGAGAATGCCTACTGGAGAAAGGCAATTGCAGTGAGTGTGGGAAACTTGCAGATTTTTTACTCCTAGAACATCACAGAGTTCACACTGGAAAAAGGCCTTATGAATGCAGTGAATGTAGGAAGTCCTTTGCCTACAAACTACAGTTTCCTAAGACATCAGAATGTTCACACGGGGTGAAGGCCTTCACCCAAGACAACACAGTGTGTAGAGTGAATTATCTCACCCCTCCCCCCACCCCACCATTCTTATTTGAAGCCCTAATGCCCAATTTGACTATATTTGAAGATAAGGCCCAAAAGGAGGTAATTAACATTAAATGAGGCCTGATGTGACAGGACTAGTGTCCTTATGAGAAAAGGAAGCGACATCAGAGAGCTTGCTCTCTCTATACATGTATGCATAGAGGAATCTGATCTGCAAGCCAGAAGACCAAGATCAAGATGCCATCAAGGTTTCTCCTGAGGCAGCTCTCCTTCGCTTGAGGATGGACACCTTCTGGCTGTGTCTTCACATGGCCTTTTCTCTGTGTGCCTGCTTCCCTGGTGTCTTTTCCTTTAATTATAAAAACAGTAGTTATACTGTATTAAAACCTCACCCTTATGGTCTCATTTAACTTTAATTATCTCTTTAAATGCACTAACTCCAAGTACTGTCACAGTGGGGTTAAGGCTTCATATGTGAATTTCGAGGGGACACTGAGCAGTATATAATAATTGTTTTTGAGTACTGAAGGATATATCCTCAATGTTTTGTGCTATTCATAATGTAACAGCCATAGACATTATACACTTTTTAGGATAATCTGCTTTCTTAACACAGTGTTCATCAATTTCTAAAGCCTACACATTCAGTGAAACAAGCCAGCCCTGGTTTGTAGTGATTGTCAGCTTCCCTGGTGTACACGCTCCCTCCATGGCCAATTTCAAGCTTCCAAGATGACATCAGTGAAAGTGGAGTTGGGAGGAGGAGATGTGCAGTAGCACAACATTGCATTCTGTTCCCACAGACGGATTCAGCAGTCATAAATAACCTCAAGAACATGCGCAATAGCAAATCATGGTGAAATAATTGGGAAGACACAAATGTTGAAAATCGCCTTTGCTTTTTTAACAGCTTTACTCAAGTACAGTTGCTTCTCATTATTCACAGTAGCTATGTTTTCTAAAGCCACTCTTATTCATGGTAGTTATGATCTCTAAAGCAGTGGTTTTGTATGCACTAATTCAGTGTCTGTAGTACTGAATTTGTGCACACAAAACCATTGCTCCTAGAGGAGATACATGTTTAGTTTCCTGAGAGCCTCTGGTTATAACATTTTTGTCAAGTGATCAATACATAACATTGTTTCATGTATATGTCTATTTAAACACACCTTATTTGCTGCATTGATTAACACAGGACTTGCAGCCGAAGCACTGTAACTCATGCCTGAACAAAGCTTATCTAACACACCCATGTTCTTTCTAAGGCACATCACAGCCTTGTGCTTAGGAACACCAGACAGCGTGTAAGCACCACACTTAAGGGCCTCAGAACGAGACCCAAACGTGCTGGGTACTGGGGTGAGGGTTCGTGTTTAGAAAGACAATGTTTCTACCCAAAGATCCCTGATTCAGACATAGTGAGACTGGGTCTAGAACACGGTGAGAGCTAGAGGGAGGAGGCAAGGTGGATTGTTCTTCTCGACTAGCCAAGCCTGTATTGAGGGCAGAATCAAGGAAGCTGTGGATCCCCGCATGAAGAGGGGAGTCCTTACCCAGTGAGACAAGGAGCCCACAGGTCTCCAGTATCACCTACACATACAGAATGCCTGAGCTCTGTGCTGGGCCCAAAGGGGAGGAGGACGTGGCCTTTGATCATAACATAATCGTGGCTGAAAGAAAAGCCTCCCATGGGTGAAGCCACTGGAGAAACACCATCACTGGCGTTCCCTTGAGAATTTGGGGGCAGAAGTAAACACTCCGGGACATCAGAAGAATGAGGGGAAATGATCATGACAATAATTGCAACAATGAAAACAGTAGCAGCAGCTGAGCCTTGGTCCTCACCATGTGTCCGCCCTCAGCTGAGTGCTTCACATGCTGAGGTAGAGGGATTAAACTACTCAGCTCTGGACATAAGACTCAGGGGTATGAATCCAGCCTCTTGAAGCTGACACTTGTCATCTGTGTGAACCTGGAGAACCCACTTCATTTCTCTGATACTGGTTTTCCACAGCAATACGATAATAATTCCCCCTTCCCCAGACTGTTATAAGAATTTGTTGGAGGAGGTCATCAAGAAGACACAAAACCCAGGTGACCTGCAAGTGGTTTCCAGGCAACTGAAGTCTCCTCACCCCCTCCCATCTTTGGAATGTGCATTCTGCTTGCCTTCCCCACTCCCAGAAGCTGATCCAAGGACACAGCCTCGAGATAGAAATGTGTTGTTGAATCCATCTGTACAATATATGTGACTGAATCCAGTTAGGCCCTCTATATACACTTTTAATATTTCGCAGGTGGATGTGGAAAACTACTTGTCTTGTGGCCACCCAAGACAAGCATTGTAAGTTCCCTTGCTCACTAAAACTGCCACCTACCAATGTGGAGTGGTCTGCCTGTTTCTTCAGTCTCGCCCTGTCCTCCATGTACTGGGGCTGATTTCAGATTACACCCAAGAAGCTCCCAAGGTTGTTGTGAACTAACAGAAATTAGAGAAAATGCTCAAAAAGCAAACACTGGAAATGTGGTGCTGGTAAATGATCACTGTTTTTACTTTTATTGACCCTCACAGAGGCCAAGGTAAATGCCATCACCACCTGTATGTCACAGTCAGTGACCTGCCCTCCAGGAGCTCTAGTGAAATCACCTAGAGTCCCTGGTGGGGAACCCATGCTGAAACCTCAGTACCCTGTAGCCCCCTCCTGCCTGCTGGTGGCAGAGGGGTGCCTTTCCCTCGGATTGTCACTGCATGCAGGTGTAGGTCACAGGTGCAGCTGCTGTGCAATGAAGAATGGGTGCCTGAGCTCTTCACCTCTTCCAATGGTCCAGGGGCAGGGTCATCCCTAATTCTCATTTTATACAGGAAGAAACTGAGGCCTAAAGGAGAGTCACTGTGAGCTCTAGTGGTGGTCAGGAACCTGAGATTCAAACTCCAGCCACTTGGGGAGTCTGATCACCACCCTCCTTTTCCCCTGCCCACTGGGCTTTCCCTTCCCATCAGGCCATCCTGATGCCAACTTGTCCCCAATCTGCTCCAACCCACCAATTACAGGAAAATGAGAAAACGCTACAAGGCAAGACATTACTGTATTACAGAACGTCTGGACTTAAGAAACAGAGGAACGATGTTAATAATGCAGATTAATCTTAAAAGTATATGGTATACGTGTCCATTACATTGTTCACAGCACCAAAAATTTGAAAAAAATTAAGATATATTCTTTCAGTATTGAAAACAATTAACCCACTAAGCAAAGAAGTCACTCATGTATTCAAGAATGAGTGAAATTCCAATATACATCTTTCTTGCTTCATTATCCTGTTTGTGAAAGAAAAGGAAAATAGCCAAAGTTTACAAAAGAATAGAAAAGTTACGAGCAGATATTTTACCAAAGACATACAGATAGCGAATAAACATCTGAAAAACTGCTCATCAGGAATCCTTAGGGAAATGCAATTAAAACAAAGTGAGACAGCACTACAAAACCAATTAAAAGCGCTAAATTAAAAATAAGCCAAGCCACGTATTTGCTACAATGTGGAGAAATGGAACTCTCATACCCTGCTGGTAAGAATGAAAAAAGGTACAATCATTTTAGATCACAATTTGTTAGTTTCTTCAAAAGTTAACACCTATATTCTGAGTGTCAAACATTACACCCTAAGTTATTGACAAAAGACAAACGAAACATATATCCATATAAAGTATTGTTCACGCTTGTACAGGCTTTATTTACAACAGTCAAAACACTGGTAACAATCTAAATGTCCATTAAGAGATGAATGGATAAACTAATAGTTGTATATCCAAAGATAGCAAAAAGAAGACAAAGAAAGTTGAGCTACTTATATTATTGATGAATCTCAAAGTAATTATGCAACATAAAAGAAATCAGAAAAAAAAATGTAAAGATTTAATGATTCCAATGACACACATTCCAGAAAATGCAAAGGTACCTATATCAAGCGAAAGTAAATCAATGGTTATTTGGAGGGCAGTGAAGGACAGGGAAAGAGACTGAAGGATATGAAGCAAATACACAGTGACAGATATGGTCATTACCATGACTGTGATGATGTTATCACAGGTTCATATGTATGTCAAAACTTATTAAATACTATACATTAAGTACGTGCAATTCATTACATGTAAACTATACCTTAATAAAACTTTTAAAATGGTTCAAGATAAAAAATTCTTTATTGCCTGTTCTTTTTGGAAAACAGGCTTGGCAATCCTATATTCACTCCATCATCTTTCTTCTCATGTTCTCTGGGAGTCACTCTTGCCTCAGTGGCAGCAAATACTGGCTAGTAACAAAGGATATTTCCATTGGAGTCCACAGGAATGCCAGCTAGGTCACATCTCTGGACTACAATTCTCTTTCTTTTCCTGTCTGTGCAGCAATGGCCTTGAGGTGAACATCACTCAGAGACTACAGGAATCTCCAAGATCTTTTGATTATTTTCTCTGATAATGACTGCAGCTACACAAGATAAACAAACCTGGAGGTCCTGAGATTTGTGTACAAACTAAGCCTGCACAGTCACTGTTACAGAAACATTTCTGGATGCACTTTTGGAGGAGGCACATTCCATCTAGTTGGCTGCAGTCTCCTCAAATCCCTACTAATCCAGTGTAATTTCAGTAGCACTTATGGTTTCCCCTGACCCCAGTGGTCTTACAACCACTGACTGCCACCCATGGAATTGGGGACATCAGGGGACATGGTTCTTTGCAGGACCTGGGGAAGAAAGTCAACAATGCTGAAATCCCCAGTGAATAGTGGAAAACATTCATGCTGCTCCAAGAAGAACGTGAGATTGTCACATCTGATTCTTCCTCAGGATGATCTGAATCTCCTAAAACTCATAGCATCCAGGCTTCCAATGATGACCACAAAGCCCTGTAATGGCTCCTGGTTTGTTGGCAGCAATGCAAATTTTGCCCAAACTGGCGAGTTCTTTTTTGCCATTATACTACATACTCTTGAGGCACAGACAGTTTGAGACCACTATAAAAATTGTGCACCCTTCACACTTTTGGAGCCCAAACCTGTTTATAAAATACCCCACACAGTAAGCAGAACACCCTAAATGAAAAAGGACTTAATGAGCAAGGCATTCATATTATACAAACCAAAGCAACGTGCAGCACACTTTGGCTTAGGGACTTGGAAGCTGGAAAAATTCATCAATGTGAGAACAACACATTTCTGAAAACAGTTGTCCTCTGCAAGTTGCCAGCCAAAGTCATTTGATATTGTCTGGATCAACACTGGCTCAGGTCCTTGCCCAAACTAGTTAGAAAGAACAGAATACAGACCCCTAAGGGCTCAGGCTACTCCTGAATTACTTCAATACACGAGAGAACAGAGGTCAGCTTCCCTGAGCACAGTGGGGTGGTGACTGATGCACACTGAGTGGACCTGCCAGGTGGTAGAGATGAAATGGCTTCAACAATAGAAAATGGCACTGACATAAATCTTGAAAGAGCCCTGAGCAAGTTATAAAGTGCAACATAGCTACACATGCTTCCCACATAACTGAAACTATGTGGAATCACCCCACTGTGGACAAGTGGATGTAAGAGATCGAATCCAGACAGATGGCTCCTCAAGGTTTCTTCTAGTATGATTACATTGAACAAAGAAATTGCACATTCCCTTGTACATCTAAGGCCTTTTTCCAATGCGAACAGTATGATGTCTAATGACGTAAATCCTTTGGACGAAGGAATTCTCACATTCCCTGGACTCATAAGGCCTTTCTCTTGTGAATTCTCTGAAAACATTGGAGGGTGGAACTAGAGGTAAAAGATTTCCCACAATGACTACACTCATAAGGCTTTTCTCCAGTGTGAATTCTCTGGTATTGATTCAACTGGGAACTATCCCTAAAGGATTTCCCAAATTCACTGCATTCAAAAGGCTTTTCTCCTGTGTGAAAATTCTGATGACAATAGAGGGCAGAGCTAGAGGTAAGACTTCTCACATTTACTGCACTCACAAGGCCTTCTGTAAGTTTGTGATGATAATGCAGGGCGGAGCTAGAGGTAGAGGATTTTGCACATTCACTGCACTAATAAAGTTTTTCTCCTTTGTGAGTTCACCAGTGTACAATAAGGGCAATTCTTTGGGTAAAGGATCTCCTACATTCACTGCACTCATAAAACCTTGATGCAATGTGAACTATTAATATTGAAGGAACACAGAGCTTTAGCTAAAGAGTTTCCCACAGTGGCATCACTCATAAGACTTTGATCCAGTGTGAAGTCTCTGATGTTGACGGAGTGCAGAGCTTTGGGTAAAAGATTTCCCACATTCACTGCACTCATAAGGCCTTTCTCCAGTGTGAATTCTCTGATGTTGACGGAGCGCAGAGATTTGCCTAAAGGATTTCCCACATTCACCACACTCATAAGGCCTTTCTCCTGTGTGAACTCTCTGATGCTGAATGAGTGCTGAGCTCTTGGGAAAAGACTTCCCACATTCACTACACTCATAAGGCCTTGACCCGGTGTGAACACTCTGATGATAACGAAGGCCAGAGCTAGACGAAAAAGATTTCCCACATACACTACATGTATAAGGCTTTTCTCCAGTGTGAACTCTCCAGTGTTCAATAAGGTAAGAATTTCCTCTAAAAGATTTCCCACATTCAGTGCATACATATGGCCTTTTGCTTGTGTGAACTCTTTGATGATCACGGAGGGTAGAACTAGAGGTAAAAGATTTCCCACATTCACTGCACTCAAAAGGCCTTTCTCCAGTGTGAACTTCCTGATGATAACGGAGAGTCCTCCTAGTGGTGAAAGATTTCCCACATTCACTGCACTCATAAGGCCTTTCTCCTGTGTGAACTCGCTGGTGTATAAGAAGGTGATATCTTTGGATAAAGGATTTCCCACATTCATTGCACTCATAAGGTCTTTCTCCTGTGTGAACTCTCTGGTGATTACTGAGGTTGGAACCAGATGAAAAAGATTTCCCACATTCACTGCACTCATAAGGCCTCTCTCCTGTGTGAACTCTCTGGTGTATAACAAGGTGGTATCTTTGGATAAATGATTTCCCACATTCACCACACTCATAAGGCCTTTCTCCTGTGTGAACTCTCTGGTGATTACTAAGGTTGGAACCAGATGAAAAAGATTTTCCACATTCGCTGCACTGATAAGGCCTTTCTCCAGTGTGAACTATCTGATGATAATGGAGTTTGGAGCTAGAGATGAAACATTCACCACATTCACTACACTGATAAGGTCTTTCTCCAGTGTGAACTCTCTGATGATAATGGAGTTGGGAGCTAGAGATAAAACACTTTCCACATTCACTGCACTCATAAGGTCTTTTCCCAGCATGAACTCTCTGATGATAACGGAGGCCAGGGCGAGAGGTAAAACACTTTCCACATTCACTACACTCATAAGGCCTTGATCCATTGTGAACTCTCTGATGATAACGGAGGCCAGGGCGAGAGATAAAAGATTTCCCACATTCATTACACATATAAGACCTTTTTACACTATGTATTCTCTGGTGTTGAGTGAGGTAAGATGGGTGGCTAAAAGATTTCCAACATTCACTGCACTCATAAGGCCTTTTTCCTGTATGTACTCTCCGATGTAGAATGAGTATTGAAGTATTGCTAAAAGATTTCCCACATTTACTGCACTGAAAAGGCCTCTGTCCTGTATGTACTCTCCGGTGGAGAAAGAGTACTGAGCTATTGGTAAAAGATTTCCCACATTCACTGCATTCATAAGGCCATTTTCCAGTGTGAACTCTCCAGTGTACAATAAGGTAAAATTTTCTTCTAAAAGATTTCCTACACTGCGTGCACTGATAACGCCTTTCTCCAGTGTGAACTGTTTGTTGTCGAATAAGGGTGGATCTATGGCTAAAAGACTGTGCACATTCACTGCACAAGTAATAATTTTCTCCAGTGTGAGTTCTCCAGGGATAAATAAGGAGAGATTTTTGGTTAAAGGATCGTCCACATTTGCTGCACTTGCACTGCCTTGCTCCAGAATGAATTTTTTGATGCTGACTGAAGGCTGAGCTTTGCCTAAAAGACTTGCCACATTCTCCACACACATGAAGCCTTCTTCCAGTGTGGACTCTCCGGTGAACAACAAATGAGGATTTGTACCTAAATATTTTCCCACATTCACGGCACATGTAACAGTGTCTTCTAGTATGGACACCCTGGTCCTGAACAAGTGTGTTTTTGGGGCTGAAGGGTTTCTTGCATTCTTCCCAGGTGTCATGATTTTTTCTGCTTTGTAAAGTATCCCCGCACTGGGTGATTTTGTTTGGCTTCTCCGTGGTGTGAGTGGCCTGTTCCTGGAGATATCCAGAGCTGTCCAGGAAGTCCTTCTCAACTTCCTCATGGATAAAGGTCTTCCCTGACATAGGGAATCTGCAGCTCTTCATAAGGGAAGCCCTGTCCACACTGCTTCTAAAGGGTATATCTCCCATGTGCTGCTTCTGGTGTTTTTGGAGATTTGCACTGAAATAAAATAGTTTTGTACACACCCCACACCCAAACACTTTCTGGCTGTGTTGTGTTCCTTGGCGCTCAGCCAAGTGGAAAATATCTCTAAAGACCAGACTACATGACTCACAGGGGTGGATCTTCTGGGAAGTCGAAGATGTCTTGGGAGTGCTGGCCTGTAGCACACGTACAGGAATGCTGTGTTCAAAGGGGGACTCCACATCTTCTGCTCCATTCCAGTAACCTGAATGCAAAGAAACCCTGGTGAACTACATGTTAACTTTAGTGGGAGGGCGAAACCCCATCACAAATGTGCATCTGTCACGTCTATGAAGGGGTCTATGGAATGCTTTTCTGGACAAAGGAGTTGGAATCCAACTGGGGAAGTGGCTACTGGACATTACTGGGCCCCTAAGGCAAAAGAATGGTGGAGAACTCAACAGGGATGGACACAAGGATAGGGTGTGACAGAAAGACAGGCATATTTTAAAACTTGTTCATCTCTCAAAGGATTCCTGCAGGACCTTTACTGCTGGTGACGTGAGGTTGTACAGAAGCACGTGTCCAAACCTAGGAAAAAATAATTACAAGACAGCAGCTGCTGTTCAAGGCCAATGTAAGGGTGCATGCACACTTCATGGCACATGTGGATCAATGCTGTAGAGCAATAGAGGAAGAGCTATGAGAGAAATGGGTGAGATATCAAGTCTGGAGATATGGAGATTCTCCCCAGGCTGGAAGTAAGAGTAGAAAGAACAAGTAGAAGAACTGACTAGAAGACAACGTATCAACCACAAGGAAGGAAAAGTAGAAAGGGGGTGTGACACTGCAATGACAACAAAACATTGGTTACATGGGAAACATTCCTGGTATGATCTGAACACAGATCTGGGGACATCACACTCTCCCCAGCCTCAGCAGGTCCAGATACCTGTGAGTTCAACTTGTGGCCTTGCTATTGAGAATCCCTACAATCTTTGTTACCCCTGACCCCTGCTGACAAAGCTCCACGGTGATTACATGGCTAGTCCCTCCCCAGAGCCAAAACCGCCACATTCCACCCAGCTGGTGACCTCGCAAGCAAACCAAAATGAAGGTCTTTCCCCACCAAAACCAGTCCATAACGTTTCGAAATGGTGACTGATCCATCAAATGTGGAGAAATCACCAAGAGTCCATAAGGAACATGAAAAACCCAGGAAACATGACATCACCAATGGAGCACAGTAAGTTTTCAGCAAGTGAACCCAAAGAAACACAGATCCACAAACTGCTAGACAAAGAATTCAAAGCAATTGTTTTAAGGAAGCTTAGCCAGATCTAAGAAAACACAGATGGACAACTCACTGAAATCAGGAAAATATACATGAACAAATCAAGGAGTTTGGATATAGAGAGAAAAAAATTAAACAGAAATTCTGAAGCTGAAGAATACAATGAATGAAATGAAAAATGCAATAGGGAACATCAACAACCAACCTAAACAAGCAGGTGAAAAGTGTGTGACTGACAATCAGGTCATTTCAAGTCATCCAGTCAGAGAAAAAACACTGTGTATGTAAATTATGGGATACCATCAAAGGAAATAATATTCGTATTATGGGAATGCCACAAGCACAAGTGAGGGAGAAAGGGGCAGAAAGCTTATTTAAATAAATAATGGCTGAAAACTTCCCAAATCAGGAGAGGGAGGTGGACATCCAGGTACATGATACTCATAAATGCCCTCAGAGATTCAATCCAAAGAGATCTCCACTGAGGCACATTATAATAAAACTTTCAAAAATCAAAGACAATTTTGAAAGCAAGAGAGAGAAACTCATACACGTGAACCCCCATGAGGCTGTAAGTGGATTTCTCAATAGAAACTGGGATGACCAGGACAGAGTGAAATGACAAATTCAAAATACTGAAGGAAAAAAACTTTAAGGAAGAATGCTCTATCCACCAAAGCTGTCCTTCAAAATGAAGGAGAGGGTTGGACTCTTGGCTGAGTGGTTAAATTTGTGCGCTCTGCTTCAGCGGCCCAGGGTTTTGCCAGTTCAGATCCTGGGAGCGGACATGGCACCGATCATCAAGCCATGCTGAGGCAGCATCCCACATGCCACAACTAGAAGGACCCACAACTAAAAATATACAACTATGTACCGGGGGGCTTTGGGGCAAAAAAGGAAAAATAAAATCTTTAAAAATGGTACAGCCAGTATGAAAAAGAGTATGGAAGATCCTCAAAAAAATTCAAGAGAACTACCATACGATTTAGTAATCGCATTTGTTGATACACATCCGAAAGGAAATGAAATCAGAATGTGGGAGAGATAATCTGCCCTCTCATTTTTGCTGCAGCATTATTCACAATACACAAGATATGGAAACATATCAGCGTCCATAAATGAATGAAGGGATAAAAAAAAGTGTGATGTACACACACCTGGAATATTGTTCAGCCTTAAAAGTGAAAGAAATCCTGCCATATGACACTATGGATGAATCTGGAAGGCAGTATGCTAAGTGAAATAAGCCAGTCAGAGAAAGACAAATCACTTATATGGGGAATCTAAACAAACACACAAGCAAAAATGTTCAACTCATAGAGCATAGAATGCTAGGGGCTGAGGAGAGGTTAAAATGGGGAGTTGTTGGTAAAAAGGTACAAACTTTCAGCTATAAGATGAATAACTACTGAGGATCTAATGTATAACATGGCGACTACAGTTTAAAATACTGTATTTTACACTTGAAGTTTACTGGAAGAGTTTATCTTAAGTGTTCTCACCTTAAAGAGAATACGAGGTGATGGGGTGTTCATTAACTTGATTACATAATTATTTCATAATGTATAATGAAATCATCACATTGTACACATTAAATGTGTAATATTTAATAGAACAAAGCTGGAACAAAAGGAAAGAGATCTAAACACTACAAACCGTGCAAGACAGTCTTGAAAAATAGGCCACGATCCAGGTAAGTAGCAAACATATGACAATGCCTGCAATTCCACACAGAGGCAGGCACAAGGAAATGTCAGCTAAAAGAAGCCATCAAAGCCTGGGATACAGAAGTGTCATGGATCCGAACATATTCACCTGGCCAGGGAGAAGGCAAGCAAGGTGCCATCCACCAGCCTCATGGCAAGACTACTGACCTGGAATCCTTCCCTGTGAGACTCAGTACAGAGGGTACTGGGGCTGCAGGGAAGAGAAGAGGGCGGTGCACACACCCAGCCCTAGCAACACAGCACCACCCAGAAAGCTGAGGAAGAAAGCAGTGCCCACTGTCAACATGTGAGAAGAACAAAGCAGTCCCCGGGGAGAGGCGGGTGAATCAGGATAGAGCTTAGTCCAGGTCACGGGAAGGGAGAGGGCCTTACCTAGTGAGGATATGAGTGCAAAGTTCTCCAGCATCACATCGAGGTATAAGTGCCTCTGAGCTTCATCAAGGAGCCTCCACTCCTCCCAGGAGAAGTACACGGCAATGTCTTCAAAGGTCATACTGTCCTGTCAAGATGGGGACAGAGGAAACCATGAACTTTCTCCCTCTTAGAACCCACAGGCCCTCACCTCACACATCTACTCCACACTCCTCCCTCCAGAGCTCCCCACCTCAGAGGAGAGACCAGGCCCTGCTGCCACTGACACCCGCTCTCTCCTCAGCTTCCCATTCATGACTGTGCCCAGCCCTCAGCAATAACAGGCAGGGGGACACAGATGCCGCCCAAGCTCTGGGCCGGTGGGCAGGGCCCCATGCCTCCTGTCAAACAATTTTCCTGCATCTCCCAAGAAACACCTCAGTGTGGGCTCATGCTTCACCCCTAAAGAGCCACCACTAGGGCCTTGGGGCTCTCAGCTCCCAATGTCTAAGTAAACGCAAATCATTCTGCAGACACCACCTCTCTCACATCTTCAGTCCCCACAGCTCTGCCACCTCTCTGCCCTACAATACAGGCATCTATCTCCTTGCACTCACCCATGGACGCGACACATGGCACCCAGAGAGCGCTTCACAAACTCAAACACAATCCAGCACCTTCCCAGTCCTCTGATGGATCCCACAGCCAGGGAAAGCCCCAGATACTGCTTTGAAGGCCTCCCCACCTGCCTCTGATCCTTGCTTCAAGATCAGCCACCCAGAACCACATGTGAATTTCAGATACCCATGACCCTCCTCCACTTCTGTGATGCACTTTCTGTCCCCTCAGCAGCCACAATCCGCCTCTCTCCTCACTCAATCTTGCTTAAAACCCCAGCCCATACAGTCTCCCTGCCAGGCACAGTGACTCTCACAATTGACTACATTCAACCCAGATCTTACCCACCAGCAAGACTCGAACACCCCAGACCCCAACAGGGCTCAACACACAATTCTGGAGAACGTGAACAGTAGTGAATTTGCAGGAGCCCCAGCCTCACTGTGAACTTGTCTCATTTACTCCTCTGCCTCTGAAGGCATCTTCCACCGACTCATCCCATGGAAGCCTTGGCCACTTGCCAGATCATGCTCTCTCCCACACCTTTCCATGGGCATGGCCCTCCCTCACCTGTGTTTCTCATACTCAGGAACCTCAATCAGATGCTAAGCAAGAAAATCGTTCCTCAGCATGGGGTCTTTCTGACTCACCAGCAGCATTATCACTATATCCCGCATTCCACTTCATAAATGTGATCCACAGCTCACCAGAGTCCTCACAAGAGCCACAATAGCCATTTGAGAGTCTCCATCCTGAACCCCTCCCCAGATTTCCAGACCTGGGTCTCCTGATGCCCACTTGACACCTCCACTCACTGTTCTCTGAAACATCTCAGACTCTTAACACGGCCTGAATAAAACCTCTGATATTCCCAAGGAAAATAAACCTACTGACAACTTCCACATCCCACTTGATGGAGCTCCCATCCCTTCAGGAGCTACAACCCCAAACCCAGGAGTCATCCCTAACTTCTCCCTCAACTTTGTTACTGTTACCATTGTCAAGTTGATTCAGACTCCCAGCAACACCTGCAAAGCAGAGCAGAACACTGCCCAGTCTTTTTTAAGTCACCTTCTCTTCTTCCTGTGCAGTATCAGACAATACTCCGCTGCTATTCATGGGGTTTTCATGGCCAAGTTTTTCAGAAACATGTGGCCAGGTCCTTCTTCCTATTGTGTTGCAATCTGGAAGCTCTGCTGCAACCTGTCCACCTTGGATGACTGTTGGTATTTGACATACTGGTGGCCTAGCTTTCAGCATCACACCAACAAGCAGCTGCCACAGCATGACATATGACAGAAACACAGTGTGGCTCCCCAACAGGGAAATAAACAGAGGCTGCAGCAGCGAGATGCCAAATCTTAATGGCTGGACGACCAGGGCTGGCCCTCCCTCAACTACAACATTCAGAAATCAACTTGGCCTTTTTTCAAAAATGGACCTAGAATCCAAACTTTTTTCTCACCTGCATCGCCACAACCCTGGTCCATCCATACTGGGATTACAGCAGTAGCCTCTTCCTGGGCTCTCTGCCTCCTCCATTAACCCAGTCTGTGCTCTTCTCTGCACCAGACGGAGCCTCCTAAGACCTGGGTAAGACCACCTACCTCCTCTTATCCAGACCTCTCACTGTATCCATGATAGACACCTAAGTTCTCAAGCAACCACATTACGGCTTCATTACTGAACCGCCCACCCCCACCTCTTTGTTCTTCACAGAAAGAATGGAGACCTGCTGTCCCGTCTCTTGCTCAGTCACACCTCCAAGCATTTGTACCCACTGATACCTGTCCCTGGGATAACATTCTACACCTGTTTATCCTGGTGGCCAGAAATCGGAACACTTCTATGACCCTCGGCCTGGACTCAGGACACAGGGCTTGGGGGTATCCTCAGGGTCCCCGCACCCGAGAGCTGTGAATGCAGCAAGTGAAGAGTCTCAAGACGCCACAATCACGGACTCCACACGGCTGGTGTTAGTACCACTGAGGGGCTGGGACACCCTCTCCTTCCCTGTGCAGGTTCCGTAAGTGCTTTTTCCTGTCCCAGAACCTGTGGGGAGAGGCAGGCCACCACAGCCGGACCCCGCCCCGCCCTGCGACCCGGTGACCTCGGCTTCACTCACTGGCCTCCGGACCTCCCTCCTCAGAGCTGCCTCGGACCAGCTCTGCGCCCTCGGACCAGGACTCCGCTCCCTGCGCCTCCCCGGCCTCCTCATCCCTTCCCGTCCGTTCTCTCCGAGCAGTTCCTGGAGAACTTTTTAAACCCCAACACGCACCGCGTCCCTCTCCGTTCACAGCCCTCCCGGTTCCGGGGCCCTCGGACTGAAGGAGCAGCCCCTCCCCTGCCGGTCCAGGCTGGAACCCCCCCTCACACTGTTCCCTCGGATACAACGCAGCCCCGGGTCCCCTCTGCCCGGCCCCGCGGCCCCCTCGGCCCGGCCCCCGCCCACAGCCACAGGCCCCACGAGCGCCTCCCCGGCCCGGCCCCGGGGCCTGGGCTGCAGGCCCGGGAGCAGCGCCCGCCCGAGGGCTGGAGCTCGGGCTGCGCTGCGGGCAGGGCGGCCCGGAGCCGAGCGCTCACCTGAGCCGGCTCCCTCCGCGCGGCCGCCGCCATCGGCCTCGGGGGCGGAGCGGGGCCGGGAGCGGCGGGAGACGAGGCGCGGGGCGCGGCGCTCCCTGGCCCGGGCCTGGCGCGGGGCCCCGGGCGGCGTCGCCGAGCCTTAGACCCGCTCTGTGCAGCCGGAAGAGCGCCTTCTGTGGCAGCTTTTCTATCTCGTCACCTGAGTCTCTGAACCAGCGCCCAGGAACCAGACCTTACCCATGGCAGACAAAATGGCCGCCACGAGGGTGACGCCGGAAGTCCCGCCTCACTGGGTTCAAGTCGCACGAAAATGTTTCTATCGTGGCCTTTCATTGGCTCACCTCTGCTCCTGTTTTCCGGGTAATGTAGTTCCGGGCGTTCTAAAGGCGGCAGAGGAGGGTTTTTCTCTGTTAGAACCAACCAGAACATTGGGCACGTGGAATCCTGTGGCATAGGTGGGAAATGATGCCCCTACCTAGAGGGGTGGGCTTTGCTCCTTGTTAAAGGCAGAGAAGAGACGTAATTTCAGACTCGGTGAAGCTCAGGCTGCTCCCATGATATAAAACTAGTATTTGAGATGCTCCCAAGTCTACTGATCTAAATGACCATGTCATTCCATAGAGTCAGTTTGACATAAAATGAGTCCACGTGTAGCTGGGCGCTTTATGTTATTGCTCTTCAAATGCACGTAGCCTGAGGCAATGATCTGTTTTGTGAGTTCTGTTAAGATTGGCTAGGAACAAGAGAAGAGACTCTGTACAGGGCCATGACTGGGCAGAAAGAAGAGAGATATTCTGAATTAGGCGGAGAACCAGGAGTTCGACTTCTGGTTCCCATAGAAAACCTCTCTCTCGCCTGTAGAATCAGTGATTGTGTCCTACTCCTTGAAGAATATTTTTGTCTGTATGATATTTCTGACTCCATATCCTAAGATATGCTCAATTCCTTTTAGTGAAGAGAGATCTATCTCAAACAGAGAGCTCCTTAACTAAGGCTGTTTGGGTAGGGGTCACTGGTTGCAACTTTCATAGTCAGAGTGCATGTGCCAAGGGATTACCCAAATACCGAGATAAACAGGGCATCTTAAGCCTATGATCTCATGTCCTTGCTGCTGATTATCATTTCCCAGTGCTTCCAGGTACAGTTCTTCGTAGGGAATTGAGATTATCTCAGGAAAACAGTTGTGAAATGCAAGTTTCAGAAAGTTACTAGTGTTTACGTAGTTATTCAACTATAGTGGCAGCAATAACACTGGGGAAATATCAGAGGATGTTGAAGAAAATTAACAGTTTTGAGAATTTTTGGTAGGGGTTTTATTCTTGAAAACATTAAGCAATACGAGTTTGGAGAAAGAATTGAAATGGACATCAAGAGCAGCCAAATTAGTAAAAATGAACAAGAATTTGAGGTGTCAATGTTTATGCACGGCTCTAACAAGTGTTCATTGAGCAAATACTCAGAATCAGACACTGTTGTTGTAGGTGCGTGAGAGACCTCATAAAGACCCCTGCACTCATGCAGCTTACATTCTTTTACGTACACAGGTGAAAGCTGAAAGAAAAATTACGCAATTATAGAGTAGGTTATTGTGATAGAAAAAAGTCCGAAGACTCACTTAAGTATCATCTAAGTCAAATATCAGTGAGACTCAAGGTACAATTCAACCTGAAGCAAAATTCCTCTCCAGCTACGAACCTGAGAACCCACAGGTTAGGTGTTTCCAGTATACAATGGTGACATAGGCATGGGATAGATATTTCCATCCCAAAAGGGGGAAATGGGAAACAAAGAAGGAGTGAGGGGTCCCAAGCAGGTCCAAAACCTCCCAAGACAAACATCATGAGATCTTGTGGCTCAGAATAATCCTCTTTGGCTGGATGCTTGGCCTTCCAGAGCCACTGGGGCAAAGGTCCTGTCCCTGTTGTTGTGCTGGATGAGATTCCTGCCCTCAGGGATCTGCCTGGTGGGAATCCCATTCTCAGGGCTCTGGTTGGTTCCACCCCGTTCCAAGACATTGGGGTTGTGGTGGAGGTGGAAGAAGTGAATGGGTTTTGTATCACTTTTTAAAATAGGGCTGCCTGGATTTTCTGATTGTGATGGTGAGAGAAAGATAGGAGTGAGGGATGACTCCCAGATTTTTGTGGTTAGTGTTACCCACTACAAACATAGGTTCTCTACCTGCCACACAAGTGGGGCCAAATAGAAACTGGAACGCTAGGCTTATGGCAAGGAAAGGGTTTTTATTTCGGATGATCTCAGCCAGGAGATGAAAGTGAGCCCTTAAATTTGTCTTGTCTTGTCTCGTCTCCCCGAAAGATGGGAGGCAAGGGGTTTTATAGGTTCAAGGAATGTCTGTTTGTGGTGGGGTGGGGAGAGTCTGTGGCCTTGCTGTTCAGAGCTTTCCCACCAGGCTGCCTTCTGCCTTGAGACTCTGCTTACAGGGAGGATGATAAGGGAATTTGCAGGAGGGTGACCTTGGCTGTTTGTCTCCATGGCATACAGTGGATTCTGGAGCCAGGAAGCCAGGGAGTAAGCAGGGAATGAGTACTTTGATTTTAACCCCATATATGCTGGGTTTAATGTAGGGGAACCAATATCAGTGCTGGTATCATTAGCACCTGGAAGGACAGAGGCTCCATCAACTGAAATGGGTGTTCCATAATGGGAGTAATTTTCAATGGGGGTATCAGCAGTTTTATTTTTGGCCAAGTTAAGAGTATGAGATATTTCAGAGCACAAGGGAGTGGACTTATTTAGCAGGCAACTGCACACACAGGTCTGCAACTATGGGAAAGGCTTCTAGATAGACACATCTAGAAAAGGTGGTGATCGGTATGTGCACCAGGGGGAGCTTCTAGTGACGTTTGTAGGAGAAATCCTAGACGTGATGGTAATGCTAATAGCAAATCAGGAAGGGGAGGGTGGGTGCCACAAGTGCATGTCTAGACTGGATACCTGGGTGGGGGTGGGGACATCACAAGCACAGGTGTGGCACAGAGGATGATCTGGCAGGGGACCACAGCTTCTGAGGAATGACTGAACATGAACGGGAGTGGAGGCACAGGTGTAACTGAGGTAAGATGACGCTGAGGCCTGCTGTTTATCCCCTGCTCTGCAGAGTCACCTGGATTTTGTTGTGACTGGGCTGTTTCACTCAGGCCAGATTAGCTTAGGGACACAGTGGCACTCTAGTAGAGCAACTGGGCCTGAGGCAGAGGGCCAGTGGGGCCGGGCTTCAAATGAGTTAGGTGGACAGAGCAAGGCTGTGACTGGTTTTCGGGCAGCAAGTGCCACACAAATGGAAGAGAGCTGTGTGTATCTGAGATTGGAGGTGGTTCACAGTGCCTGAGGATGAAGCAAGGAAGAGTCAGGAGAGAGGCCTTCATAGCAGGAGTCAAGGCTGCAGTGGGGACCATCAGAGTCTGGGGTAGTACCAGCTCCTGTTTGCATTTGCCAAGCACTCTCGGGATGCCTGGTGCTCAGTATGATACAGGTTCAACACAAGGTTGACATGAGGGAAGCCATATTGTAGAAAAAAAAAACCATATTATAACTTTGAATGACTTCTGATTAACTAACCCTGACTCACCAGCCCCTTTAACTCTGTGCTTTAGTTTGCCTAGATGAGTAAGGGTCTGTCTCCAGGGGATTTGTAGGCTCTGTAGGTTTTATGGCCCCTCCCAGCTGCAATAAGATGATAACTTTGTTCTTTTCAGTTCCTTGACTCCTGGCCAGAGAATCTATGCTGATAGCCATTATCATCAATGACGACTGAAAGATCAGGGTATAGGGTATTGCTCCTGTCTCTGATGCATATCCAGTAAAACAAACTATCAGGAACTAAGACCAGATGTCTGCCCGCACCCAGAGACCAGTCCCCTCTATAACTGGCCTGTAGACTTTGTTCTGTAAGATGGTTCTTTTGGACATTAGTCATCTTCCCTCTTGCTAGCAAGCTGTAATAAAAAAAAAAACCCTTTCTCTCCTACCACCTTGTCTCTTGACTATTGGGATGTCTTGCTGCGGGCAGATTACCCCACCTTGGGCAGTAACAAATGTGTGGTGAGCCAAGAAGATGCATATGTGCTTGTGGAGAGGGGGATGAATTGATGGCCTCAGGTCCCTGGCACTAACCACATATGGGTAAAGGGTGAGCCCATATTTGGTTGTGTCTGGGAGGCAGAATCTGGGGAACCCAGGGGAATTGCGTGGTAAGAGGGGGTGGGGCCCCACATGCCAGGCCCAGAGACAAGATATTATTTATTTGCCCACTTTCTTAGTCTTGCTGTGCACTGAGACCGTGATCAATGTGACCATGAGTTGAGAGAGGGCACCAAGGCCTCTTACCTTTTCTGAGGTGGGGAGATTGGGAATAGGGTGTCCAGGGGAGGGATGTCGGGGGATCAACATACAGTTTAGAGAAAAGCTAATCATAGAATGAACCTCTCCGTTAGGAGAGTATGACCTTTGGAGGATGTGGCCATTAACTTCTCCCAGGAGTGGGCGCTCCTGGATGAGACTCAGAGGCTCGTGCAGCACAATGTGATGCTGGAGAACTGTGCACTGACTGTATCCATGGGTAAGAACTTCACATCCCTCCAAGCATCCTGAATGGGTCTCTGTCTTCTCCCTCCCTCCCCAAAGTCATCTCTGTCATTGCACAGCATTGAGCTGTGTGCACTTCCCCCAGCCTCTCTCCCCAACAGCAGTCCTAACACCTGCTGCTTCAAAGAGGGAAGGGAAGTGTCAGGGAATAGGGAACCTGGCAGTCAGCCTAATGGAGCTCACCTGGCTTGCTTTCTCCTTAGCACAGAGACAGGGTGATACCTCCATGTTTCAGGTTCTGTCCCCTTCCTCTGGGTGACATTTCCTAGGAGCCGTCTCTGCTATGAACTGCACATGTTGTCACGGATCACTGTTTACACGAACCAGGTACTGTTCTTGTAAGAACCTCTTTTGAGGATTTCGTAGTATTATATTGTTTTCCCCATTTCCTGTTGTGTGCTGAGTTGCTCTGAGCCACAAACCAGTCCTTTCATCAGCTGGCTGCTTCTTTGTTCCTCCAGGTTTATGACAGGAATGTCTTTCTCAATACGCTGGAAGCCATCTCTTTAAACTGAAAACATCCTGAAAGCCTTTTTGTGAAACACAGACTTCGTGAGAGAGAGCTCTCCAATCTCCCAGTTCCAGTGAAGGGAAGGAGCCAACCCTCAGTGCTCCCCTTTCTCCAATTTGGAAAACAACCTCCTGTCACAAGGAAATGTTTGCCTTTCCTCTGAATGAAGCCAAAAAGCTTCCAGAGAGTCACAACTACTGGGTAAAGTTAGGCACTCTGTGTGACAAATGGTGCTGTCAAGTCCTCTTACTTAAAAACTTGTTATTGTTTATCTTGAACATACATATGTAATGGGTTCTATCTGCTTGTCTATACAGAAAAGTGAGATTATTTTTCTGTCTGCAGTTTCTTAGCAGATTGCCTGTAATGCACATCAAACTCTGGTTTCATGCTTAATTAATAATAAACCTGTTTTGTCTCTACTACTACTGTAAAGAGGATTTCTGGATTGGGAAAATATTTTGTTCTTATTTCCCCGAAAGTCAACATCACCCACCTGTCTGTTGAGACCAAATCTCCTCACCCATTTCATCAATGTCTAGTGCACAGGATTATGGGGGAGGGTGCTCAGTTAAGGGTGCTCAGATTCAAGAAGCCAATTCTAGAATGTGACAAATTCTAATGAACAAATCACTCAGCAACTTCAATAGATAAGTAAAAAGAATAAAAAAGGTAAGTGGAACTATACATTAAGAGATTTATGAGACACAGCTTCCAAAAGCTGTCAGGATACACTTAGGATCCTGATTGAAATTCATCTGACTTAAGAAACAAACATATTTCTGAGACAATTTGGAAAATGGAGAATTGATAACATACTTAACATATTTTAAAATATTTTTGTTTTGTGTAATAGTTATTGGGTTATGAAAACCTTCCATTTCAAACATGCATTCTGAAGAGGTTATGCATTAAATGATACGATGTTTGGAATTATAAGTAATATATTCCCCTCTTGTACATGGGGAGAGATAAATAAGAATGGCCATGAAATGATAGATAATGATAAAAGATTGGGGAAGCGGGGGCTGGCCCAGTGGCGTAGTGGTTAAGTTCGGACGCTCTGCTTCAGCGGCCCGGGGTTCACCAGTTGGGATCCCAGGGGCGGATCTACACACCACTTATCAAGCCATGCTGTGGCAGGCGGATGGGCACAGATGTTAGCTCAGGGCCAGTCTTTCTCAGCAAAAAGAGGAGGATTGGCAGTGGATGTTAGCTCAGGGTTAATCTTTCTAAAAAAAATATATATATATATTGGGGAAGAGTTCATGTGTCTTCCTAACACTCTTTTCCATTTTTGTATATACTGAAAGTAGTCATAACAAAATATAGAATATGTCATTGCATCTGTATTTTTATATGTTGCGAAGGATGCATTTAAAAAGGCAGGAGGACACTTTTGGAGTCAGGGTGTAAGCATGCATCAAACATAAAAATGTACATTTCAGTCTGTGCAGTTTCATACGAGTAAGTTACGCTGCCATTAAAATGTTTAATAAGCAAACAAAACTTCTCACTTTCTAACCATTTCACTACATTTTATTATCTTCTATGTTTTTCTAGAGGTTATTGGCAGCTACTGTACCAGTAGGCCAGCAATGGAAGATCATGGTGTACCACTGGCAACTCTTCCCAACTCCATGTGCAATGACATCATGTGGGCAGTTTTAAATGGGCCATGGTGGGAGCGTTTACACCAGGAAAATTACACTACAAATCATAGCTTGATACATGGTATTGTTGAATATCTAGAATTAAGAAGGTGATGGAGAATCTTTTCTTCAAGCAGATTAACCTTTACAGTGTATACTGTGCATGGCCACTGCCTTGTGAACAGCACAAAAGACACTCAGGAAATGTTCCCAAATTCAAAACCAGTCATTCCTTACAGCAAAGAAGTCACATCATTGAAGAATGAATGACGTTCTGATTCAGTCTTTGTTGTTTCACTACCTTCTCTCTTAGAGAAAAAGGAAACAGCCAAAAGTCATTTTAAAAACAAGAAGATATGAAAAGACATTTACAAAAGAAGACATACAAATGGCAAATAAACAAGTGACAAAATGTTCAACATCAGGAAACATCAGGGAAATGTAACTAAAACCACAGTGTGATACGGTTACACATTGATTAAAAAGCTCAATTTTTTTTTTTTTTTTGAGGAAGATTAGCCCTGAGCTAACTACTGCCAGTCCTCCTCTTTTTGCTGAGGAAGCCTGGCCCTGAGCTAACATCCATGCCCATCTCCCTCTACTTTACATGTGGGATGCCTGCCACAGCATGGCTTGACAAGCGGTGCGTAGGTCTGCATCAGAGATCCAAACCAGCAAACTGCAGGCCGCTGAAGTGGAACCTGCGAACTTATCTGCTACCCACTGGGCTGGCTCCTATCTCCCGTTTCTTTTCTCCAAGTTCACCCTTTTAGACTGCGGATGTCTATCTTTTTTTCTTTAAAGATTGGCACCTGAGCTAACAACTGTTGCCAATCTTCTTTTTTATTTTCTGCTTTTTCTCCCCAAGTCCCCCCAGTACATAGTTGTATATTTTAGTTGTGGGTCCATCTAGTTGTGGTGTGTGGGACACTACCTCAGCGTGACTGATGAGTGGTGCCATGCTCCGGATCTGAACCAGTGAAATCCTGGGCCGCCGAAGCGGAGCACGCGAACTTAACCACTCGGCCCCGGGGCCGGCCCGGTGGATGTCTATCTTATACCCATCCCAGCATTGTATTTCCAAAGCACCTAACTTCTCTGCTTTCACAGGGTTACACCTGAAAAGGACTTCTGCCTCAGGATGAGTCCTAGAGTCTCACCCATATCTGATTTATATATTTAGGTGAGACTGTGGACTTGGAATGGATGTTGGAATGGTTTATGATTCTTGGTGCTGTGGTGATTGGGTGAATGTGTTTTGCATGCAAGAAGCATACAACTTTTGGGTAGCCAGAGAGCAGAATGTCATGGACTGAATTGTGTCTCTCCCAAAATTCTTATGTTGAAAGCCTAATCACTAACACGAGTGTATCTGGCAATAGGGTTATTAAGGAGGTATTAATGTAAATGAGATGATAAGGGTAAGACATTAATCTGATAAGACTGGTGCCCTTAGAAGAAGAGGAAGAGACACCAGAGGGCTCTCTCCCTCCATGTGCACGCACAGAGGAAAAGCCATGTGAGGTCACACTGACAAGGTGGCCATCTACAAGCCTGGGAAAGAGCCTCACTAAAAACTAACTCTGACATGTTCATCTTAGACCTCTAGCTTCCACAAGTGTGAGAAAATAAATTTTTGTTGTGTAAGCCACGCAGCCTGTGGTATTCTGTTATGACAGTGTGATATTGTGATAAGAAATGCGTATTTGGTCTTCGTCCCTGTTCCTGGCACAGAGCTCCTAAAACCCTAGGAATTTCCTAAGTGATGAGAGCTATACAGGTGAAAGGAGTTCCTTTGGTTATTCCTAACTAGCCTCTCTAAGCCACACCTGACTTTATGTTAATGAGATGACTTTTGGACCACCCCTAAAGATGGGGGCTGGTTGCCAGGGAAACCAGCCATATGACTGGGGGGTTGGAACTTTGAGTCCCAACCATGACCTCTAGGGAGGAGCAAGGGTCTGGAAATGAACTTAATCTCCAATGGCCCTTGATTAAATCAATTATGCCTACATAATGAAGCCTTCATAAAAACCCAGAGGGAGAGGGTTTGGAAAGTGTCCATGTTAGTGAGCATGTGGAGGTACCAGGAGACTGGCACACTCAGAGAGAGCATGGAAGGTCCATGACCCTGCCCACATACCTTGCCCTATGCATCTCTCCCATCTGGCTATTACTAAGTTGTACCCTTTTATAAGAAACCATTTTATAAGAAACTAGTAATCTAGTAAGGAAACTTTTCCTCAGTTCTGGGAGCCATTCTTGAAAATTGTTGACCAGAGTTAGTCATCAGCACCTCCAATTTATAGCCAGTTGGTCAGAAGCACGGTTGATAACCTGGACTTGTGAGTGGCATCTGAAGTGGGGACCATCTTGTGGGACTGAGTCCTTAACCTGTGGGGTCTGTGCTAACTCCAGGTAGGTAATTGTCAGAATTCAATTGAACTGCTGGACACCCAGCTGGCATCCATGGAGAGCTGGAGAATTGGTTGGTGTCAGAACCCCACACTTGTGGAGTTAGAAGTGAAGTACTGAGAATTGGTGTAAGTACAGAGAAGGAAAAACAGTTTATTTTCCTTTTGAGGAAGTCTGTGTTAGTCTTCCTGGGCTACCACAACAAAATACCACAGATTGGGTGGCTTAAACAACAGAAACTTATCTCCTTGCAGTTCTGGGATCCAAAAGTCCAAGATCAAGGTGCCAGCCTTGGTTAATTTCTTCCAAGGCCTCTCTCCTTGGCTTGCAGATGGCCAGCTTCTTGCTGTGTCCTCACATGGCCCTTTCTTTGTGCGTGTGTCTCCCTGGTATCTTCTATTTCTTATAAACACAGCGGTAATATTGTAATAAGGCCACACCCTTATGACTTCATTTCACCTTAGTTATGTCTTTAGGCCCTGTCTCCAATTATAGTCACACTGGGGGTTAAGGCTTTCACATTTGAATTTGCGGGGGACACAAGTCAGTCCATAACAATTGTTCTTGAGTAGTAAAGAACATATCCTCGAAGTTTTGTGGTAGTCATAACGTAACCGCCATAGACACTTAGACTTCTTAGTATAATCTGCTTTCTTAACACAGTGTTCATCACTTTCTAAAGTCTAGGCATTCAATAAAACAAGCCAGCCTGGTTTGTAGTGATTGTCAGTTTCCCTGGTGTACACACTCCCTCCATGGCCAATTTCAACCTTCCAAGATGACATCAGTGAAAGTGGAGTTGGGAAAAGATGTGGAGTAGCACAACACTGCATTCTGTTCCCACATACGGATTCAGCAGTCATAAATAACCTCAAGAACATACGCAATAGTAAAGCATGGTGAAATAACTGGCAAGACACAAATGTTGAGAATCACCTTTGCTTTTCTAACAGCTTTATTGAAATACAATTGATTTTAATTCTTCACGGTAGTTATATTCTCCGAAGCCACTCTTATTCATGGTAGTTATGTTCTCTACATACAGGTTGAGCTTCCTGAGAGCCTCTGGTCACAACATTTTCATCAACTCGTCAATTCTTAACACTGTTTCATGCTTTTTTCTGTTTAAAGGCACCTTATTTGTCATGTATTGTTGATTTATTAACATTGAATTCATGGCCAACAGCACCGTAACTCATGCCTGAACAAAGCTTATCTAACACGCATGTGTTCTTTCTAAGGCACATTGCAGCCTTGTGCTTAGGAACACACTAGACAGAAACTGGGGGCCATTTTAAACAGTGGAATCACCAAGAAAAAGCACAAATGTGGCAAGAAATAGACCACAAAAGGACACATGTTTATAGCATTAGCGCTGAAAGGAGAAGGCTGAGCATTGCCTCGTAGATCTTGTAGTTTCCTTGTAGGGAACATGCACAATGCATGACTCAAATTTTTCACAGCTCTGCACAAGTTCACAAATGAGTGTAAAATTGTTGTTAGCATAGATCTAGGGATTACAAATAAATTTTAGCAAATAGGTGAATTTCCAAAAAAAGTAGGAATTTCCAAACAGAATTCACGAAAAAAGGAGGATCCATAATAAGTTCTGTGTATTCAAAGTTTATAATTTGTGTTTTGATACATGCTTAAGCCCCTGAGACCAAAAGTTCCCTCCCACCCTTTTTCATCCACCCCCTTTATGTATAAATTTATTGCTACTAAGACACATCCTACATTCTGTAATGGATATTTTCAAATACAGACATGCATGGAAAGGACTGTGTTATGAAGTCCCATGAACCCCTTTCCCAATTTTCCATCACTGTTTATCATGTCATAATAATTCTTTCTTTATCAACTCTTAAGCACAGTACTGGGCTGTTTTCCTGATAATCCTGACATCTGGTCTTTTAACATATAATCTCTTCAGAGGCATTTCCAAAGTCTAAGGGCTCTTTCACAACTCTAACAATGTAGTCAAATAAAAATACATAAACTAAACTAATATACATTATTAGTGCCCAATTATCTCTAATCTCTCAAAAATGTGTTTTTCTTTAAAGCTGGTTCATTGCAATCAGATTGAGAATATATTCCTATGATTTATATCTCAGAAATCTATTTTTACCTACAGATATCATTTTTCTCAGTTAATTCTTTTTATTTAATTCTTTTTATTTCTTGAAGTTGCTGAGTTGTTTGTCTATTAAACCTGGTCAGACTAGATTTGTGTTTTCTACATTATCTCTGTTGCTGTTTAAGTTGCTCATGGTTCTCCCATATTTCCTATAAACTAGACAGTAATGAGATGGGAGATGGATGTGTGGCCCAAGATAAGTGAGAGATGGTGACACACCTGCAAACACACACAGTGTGACTGTGTTTTCCTAGCATACCATGGCATAGCCTGCAAACACACACATTTCAGCCTCTGTAGGTCCCAAGTGTGTGACAATAATCTTGGTTACACTGCAGCACATTCTAGAGACACACACAAATCTTAGCGACCATGTGTAACCCATAAGTGGTATTAACAAACCTCAGTCTAACATGGGGCTGCCCCTCTACACTGAGGACACTGTGTGACAGGTGTGGGATGCTGACACCCTCAACACAGCCTGGACCCACATACACATCACACACATATACCACACTGACCACAAAACACATGTGTGACACACACGAGACACACAATCTGCACATGCAAAACACCAGGGAACTGTGGTTCCAGATGGAATGCTGACACACCACAGGAGGTGTGGCAATAGGAAAACACATATACTGCACAGAGACTTGTGAGACAGGCACGTGATAGGGACACCCCAAACCTGGTGTGTACAACAGACACACATACAATCACACGGTGTCCGTGGATTGAGTGACACGAGAGGCACAGCCTGGCTTAGAGAGAATCACCCTCACCTTCATCCCTGCCGTTTTGACGATGCCCTGAAAGGAGTGAGAACATGGAGCCAGGTGCACATCTTGGCCCAACCTGGAGACTCATACATGTTTGATGCATGAATGTCAGTGCGCGAGGATACTTGGTGGGATATAATCAGTCTGAGCACAGGGGGCAGATACCTTTACTCAGAACGCCTCAAAACAGTGGTCTCAGGGGGCAGGAGTGTGTGGTGGGATGAGGCGGGCTTTACAAGAGCAATCAGCTCACTTCTAGCTATCTTCAGGAATGGGTGGACTCTGGCCCTCTCTTTCCCTCACACCTCTTTCAACCCCTCTGTCCATCAGGCCACTCCTCTCCCTAAGTTCCCCACTGCCCCCAGCACTCTCTAGCTTCTAGCCCCCTCTTTCCTAGGGACAAGGAGAGAACCATGGGGCTCTCAGAACCACTGACCCTGTGCAGTTCTCATGGCCCACGATGCACCAGGGAGCTGCAGAGCCTGGAGACATTAGTGTGAATTTCAACTGTGCCCCTTCTGGGGACTGTGACCTTGACCAAGTCCCTCCCTGCTGTTGGCCTCCATTTCCTTGTGTCCAAAATTGGAAAATTCACAATTCCTCCCTGTGATGGGGGACATGGAGAGGGCACATGTGTGATGCACATCCCTTAATTCCACCAGCTGGCCTTCTCAGTGAGAAGACATGCTCGTTCTGGGGCGCCTCCACAAATATTCCCAAGAATACAGAGGTGCACCATGAGCGTGTACAGAAATTCTCAGTATGTCCAGTGCTGTGTCCCTCATGGCCCAGGTCCCTGGCCCGACACACAATCTAAAGATTCTGCAGATGCCCATGGCCCTACCTGGAGGGCGCTGCTGCACAGGCAAGAAAACAGGGCTCGAGAGGAGAGAGGGCTCGTGGTTCACAGACAGGTCTTGCGTGACCCACTTCTAGTTGCTGGTGGCTCAGAGGAAAATAGCCTTTATTAAGCTACAATTTTTTCTGCCATGGAGGCAGAGCTCCTCCTCCTAAAGAGAGAGGTGGTAAAAATATAGCATTTTCAAATCTCCTGGGGTGTCAAGAGAGGTACAAAATGCAAAATTACATGTGGAACTAATTCTGCACAGCTTAGTGAGGTATAATTTATATGTAATAAAGGGCACATATTTGTTTGACATATTTGTGTCAAATGTATGTAAATATATATATATATAAGAATAGGATGTTCTCTTCCCACCCAAGCCACACAAACAGGCACAAACACCCACACATACCTGGAGAAACCATCATCATGAACAAGATAATGAACACAACTCTCTCCCAACATTACCTTCTGCCCCTAGGGAATCCCTCTCTCTCTGCCTTCCATGGTCTTCCTTCCCTAGGCAACCATTTATTGACTTTATTTCTATATAAATTAATTTTACTTTTCTAGAATTTTAAATAAATCAAATCTGTATTCCTTTCTTGTGGTTTCTATCCTACTGCATAATTAGTTTAAGCTTTATTGTTGTGTATGACTAGTTTATTGTTTTATTTCAGAATAATCTATTGTATGGATAGAATACAATGTTATCCTTTCATCTGTCTTTTTAAAATTTATGGTGTTTCAAGGTTTTGGCAATTACAGATAAAGCTACCACAAACATTTATATCAAGCCTTTATATGAAAATGTTTCATTTTTTTGAGTTAATATCTAGGACTATAAAGCCTAGGTCAGTATGCCACCTGATGCTGTTTCTGTGTGCTCTTTAAATCCTCTCCTGGATCATTGCAGGGGCATGGCCCAGGCTGTAGGAAACAAGGGACGATGGTGCAGCCCTCAAGGGCATTTTTACTGAGGTTGTGTTGTTTAGGAAGGTACTTGACGAGCACCCATGAGAAAGGTCTTCCCAGAGGTGCTGCATGACTCACCGTCTGAGAACAGCCCCTTACCCATGACCCTGCTACTGTGCTGTGGGGACACTTGGCCCAACCAGGCTGGGTCAGTCAGGTTCCCTCCTGTGGAATCTGGAATAAGGAGCTCAGACTGAGGCCAAAACGTGCTGGGCACTGGGATGAGGGTTTGTGTTTAGAAAGATGGTGTTTCTACCCAAAGATTCCTAGTAGAGACATAGGGAGACTGGAAAGGAGGACATGGGTCCAGAACATGGTGAGAGCTACAGGGAGGAGGAAAGGTGAGTTCACTGCTCTTCTCGACCACCCAGGCCTGGATTGAGAGAGCAGAATCAAGGAGGCTCTGGATCCCTGCATGGAGAGGGGAGCCCTTACCCAGTGAGACCAGGAGCCCACAGGTCTACAGCATCACCTGCACATACAGAATGCCTGAGCTCTGTGCTGGGCCCAAAGGGGAGAAGGATGCAGCCTCTGGACTTCACATAATTGTGGCTGAGAGAAAAGCCTCCCATGGGTGAAGCCATAGAAAGAATCGCTGGTGTTCCCTTGAGAACTTGGCAGCAGATGGTAAGTGCCCCGGGACATCACAGGAATGGGGGGAAATAATCATGACAATAATTCCAACAATGAAAATAGCAGCAGCAGCAGCTGTGCCTCCCTGGTCCTCACTGTGTGTCTGCCCTGGGCTGAGAGCTTCACATGCTGAGGTAAAGGGATTAAACTATGCAGCTCTGGAGATAAGACTTAGAGGTATGAATCCAGCCTCTTGAATCTGACACGTGTCCATTGTATGAACTTGGAGAACCCACTTCATTTCTCTGACCCTGGATTTTCCCCAGTAATACGAATAGTTCCCACTTCCCCATGTTGTTGTGAGAATCAGAGAACATGGTGAGAAAGGAGGTAAGAGCTTGGTGTGTTTTGCTCCTTTTATTGATCCTCACAGAGACCAAGGTCAATGCTGTCATCACCCGCACGTCACAGTCAGTGAACTGAGCCTCCAGGAGCTCTAGTGAGTCACTCAGACATTCCCTGGTGGGGAACCCACACCAAGACCTCAGTACCCTGCAGCCCCCTCCTGCCTGCAGGGACAAAGGGGTGCCTTTCCCCAGGATCATCACCACATGCAGGTGGAAAACCACACGTGCAGCTGCTGCGCAGTGAATGGATACTTTGGCTCTTCACCTCCTTTGACAACCCAGGGGCAGGGTCACTCCTAATCCCCATTTATATAGGAGGAAACTTTGGCCTAGAGGAGGAAGCCATTGTCTTGAGCTCCAGTGATAGATGGGGATCTGAGATTCAAACTGGTACCTTAGGGTGTCTGATCACTGCCGTCTCCTTTCCCTCCCCATGGGGCTTTGAATATCCAATCCATCCTGATGCCGCTTGGTCCCCCATCTGCTCCAACCCACCAATGATGGATGAGAAAAATGCGCAAACACTACAAAGCAAGACTTTATTGTATTATTGAATGTCTGGACTTAAGAAACAGATGAAGAATATGTTAACAATGCAAATTAATATTAAGAATATGTATATGTATCCATTACATTGTGCATAGCACAAGACTTTTGAAAAAATTAGGATAAGTTTTCTTAATACTGAAAACAATTATTTCATTAAAAAAGGAAGTCACTTATGTATTTGAGAGTGAAATTCCAACATACATATTTGTTGCTTTAGTATTCTATTTTTCAAAGAAAAGGAAAATAACTGAAGTTCATAAAAGAACAGACAAAAGATATCAGCAGACATTTTACCAAAGACATACAAACAGCAAATAAACATCTGAAAAACTGCTCATCAGGAATACTTAGGGCAATACAACTGAAACAACAGTGAAATAGCATGACAAAATTATCAAAAGGGCTAAATTGAAAATGATTAACCACATTTGGTACAGCATAAGTACTTCCTACATTGTGAATTTTCCTGTCTTTAATGAGACTGGAGTTTTAGGAAAGCATTTTCCACCTTCACTGCCCTCATAAGGCTCAATGCAGTGTGAACCATTGATGTGGAAGGAACACAGTCCTTTAGCTGAAGAATTTCCCACGTTTGCCTCCTACCCCCCATCACTCCTAAGGCCTTGATCCAGTGTGAAGTCTCTCATGTTGTCGGAGTGCAGAGTGTTGGGTAAAAGATTTCTCACATTCACTGCACTCAAAAGGCCTTTCTCCAGCGTGAACTCTCTGGTGTTGAATGAGTGTCGAGCTAGAGGCAAAATATTCCCCACATTCACTACACTCATAACTCCTTTGCTCAGTGTGGACTCTCCGGTGTTTACTGATTTGGGAAATATACCTAAATGATTTCCCACAATCAGTGCACTCATAAGGCCTTTCTCCAGTGTGAACTCTCCAGTGTTGATTGTAATGTGAACTCCTCGAAAAAGATTTCCCACATTCACTGCACTCATAAGGCCTTTCTCCTGTGTGAACTCTCTGGTGATCAGTGAATTGTGAACTATACCTAAATGATTTCCCACATTCAGTGCACTCATAAGGCCTTTCTCCAGTGTGAATTCTCCGGTGTTTAGCAAGTGCTGAGCTATTGGTATAAGATTTCCCACATTCATTACACTCAAAAGGCCTTTCTCCAGTGTGAACTCTCTGGTGTTTTTTGAGTTCTGAGCGATCCCTATAAAATTTCCCACATTCAGTGCACTCATAATCCCTTTCTCCAGTGTGAACTCTCTGGTGTTCACTGAAATGTGAACTACGCCAGAATGACTTCCCACATTCACTGCACTTATAAGGCTTTTCTCCTGTATGAATTCTCCGGTGTCGAGTAAGTGTGGAGCTACTGGTATACAATTTCCCACAGTCAATACATTCATAAGACCTTAACCCGGTGTGGATACTCTGATGACAACGAAGACTCGAGGTAGACGAGAAAGATTTCCCACATTCACTACATCTATAAGGCTTTTCTCCAGTGTGAAATCTCAAATGTTGAATGAGATGAGAATTTACTCTAAATGATTTCCCACATTCACTGCACTCATAGGGCCTTTCTCCAGTGTGAACTCTCCAATGATCACGAAGGGTGCCCCTAACACTGAAGGCTTTCCCACATTCACTGCACTCATAAGGCCTCTCTCCCGTGTGAACTCTCTGGTGTTTAACAAGGTTAGATCTTTGGATAAAAGATTTCCCACATTCAGTACACTTATGAGGCCTCTCTCCAGTGTGAATTCTCTGGTGTATAACAAGTTTGGATCTTTGGATAAAGGATTTTCCACATTCACTGCACTCATAAGGCCTTTCTCCTGTGTGAACTTTCTCATGATAAAGGAGGGTTGTCCTAGTGGTGAAAGATTTCCCACATTCACTACACTCATATGGTTTCTCTCCTGTGTGAACTCGCTGGTGTATAACAAGTTTGGATCTTTGGAGAAAGGATCTCCTGCACTCACTGCACTCATAAGGCTTTTCTCCCGTGTGAACTCTCTGATGATTACTGAGTTTGGAACCAGATGAAAAAGATTTCCCACATTCACTGCACTGAAAAGGCCTTTCTCCTGTATGTATTCTCCGGTGGAGAATGAGTACTGAGTTTGTGGTAAAAGATTTCCCACATTCACTGCACTCATAAGGCCTTTCTCCAGTGTGAACTCTCCAGTGTACAATAAGGTAAAATTTTCGTCTAAAAGATTTCCCACACTGAGTGCATTCATAACGCCTTTTTCCAGTGTGAACTGTTCGTTGTTGAATAAGGGTGGGACTACAGCTAAAAGACTGTGCACACTCATTGCACAAGTAACAATTTTCTCCGGTATGACTTCTCCAGGGATAAATGAAGACAGATTTTTGGTTAAAGGATTGTCCACATTTGCTGCACTTGCACTGCCTTGCCCCAGAATGAATTCTTTGATGCTGATTGAGGGTTGAGGTTTGTCTAAATGATTTGCCACATTCTCCACACACATGAAGCCTTTCTACAGCATGGACTCTCTGGTGCACAACAAGTGAGGATTTGTACCTGAATGTTTTCCCACATTCACGACACACAAAACACTGTCTTCCACTGTGGACATCCTGGTCCTGAATGAGTATGTGCTTGGGGTTGAAGGGTTTCTTGCATTCCCCCCGGGTGAAATGACTTTTTCTCAGACCTGCCTTGGGAGTCCTGGCCTGTGACACACCTACAGAAACACTGTGTTCAAAGGGAGCCTCCGCATCCTCTGCTCCACTCCAGCAACCTGAATGCAAAGAAACCCTGGTGAAGTACATGTTGACTTTAGAGGAAGAGTGATACCCCATCACAAATGTGCTTCTGACACATCTAGGAATAAGTCTATGGAATGCTTTTCCAGAGAAGGGAGTTGGATTCCATTGGGGTTGGGGAAGGGACTACAGGGCATTATTGGGTCCCTAAGGCAAAAGAATGGTGGAGACCTCACAAGGCAAGGATGGGACACAAAGAGAGGCATATTCTAAAACTTGCTCCTCTGGTAAAAGACTCTTGCAGGACCTTTACTGCTGGTGATTTGAGTCTGTGTAGAAGCATGAGCCCAAACTCTGGAAAAAACTATTGCAATAGAGTAGCTGTTGTTCAAGACCAAGGAAAGATATATGCACACCTCACAGCATATGTGCACCAATATTCCAGAGCAACACAGGGAGAGCTATGACAAAAATGGGTGATGTATGAAGTCTAGAGAGGTAGAGATTTTCCCTGGGCTGAAAGTCAGAGTAGAAACGACAAGTAGTAGAACTGACTAGAAGACAAAGTATCAATCATAGGGAAGGAAAAGTAGAAATGGGGTGTGGCACTGCAATGACAACAAAACACTAGTTAAATGGGAAATGTTCTGGTATGATCTGAAAACAGTCCTGATGTCACACCTTCTGCAGCTTCACCAGGCCTAGGTACCTGTTAGTTTACCTTGCAGCCTTGGCTATTCAGAATCCCTACAATGTTTGTTACCTGTGACCTCAGCTGACAAAGCTTCAGGGTGATTACATGGCTGGGGCCTCCCCAGGACCCAAACTGCTACTGCTACGAGCCATGCAGCTTGGTGACCTTGCAACCAACCCAAGGTGAAGGTCTTTCTCCACCAAAACCAGCCCCTAAAGGTTGGAAGAAGTGACTGATCCATCAAATGTGGAGATATCACAAAAGGCCATAAAGAACATGAAAAATCAAGGAAACATGACATCATCAACGGAGCACAGTAAGTTTCCAGCATGCAAACCTAAAGAAACTAAGATCTACAAACCGCTGGACAAAGAATTCAAAATAATTGTTTTAAGGAAGCTCACCCAGATTCAAGAGAACAGAGATAGACAACACAGTGAAATCAGGAAAATATACGGACAAATGAAGAAGTTCAGAGGTAGAAATACTAAAAATAAGGAATTAAACAAATTCTGGAGTGAGGATTACAATGAATGAAATGAAAAATGCAATAGAAAGCATTCACAGCCAACTTGATCAAGGAGGTGAAAAACGTGTGACCTCAAATCAGGTCATTTCAAGTCATCCAGTTGGAGGAGAAAAAAGACTGAAGAAAGATTATGTAAATTATACCACATTTTATATCTATATAAAATGCAGAGGGGGTGGGATACCATCAAGGGAAACAATATACACATTATGGAAGTGCCCCAAGAACAAGTGAGAGAGAAAGCGGCAGAAAGCTTATTTAAAGAAATAATGGCTGAAAACTTCCAAATCAGGAGTGGGATGTGGACAATTAGGTACGTGATGCTTAGAGGTCCCCATATAGATTCAATCCAAACAGATCCCTAGAGAGATGCATTACAAAAAAACTTTCAAAAATCAAAGACAGAGAATTTCAAAAGCAGCAAGAGAAAAGAAACTCATCACATTCATGGGAACCCCCATAAGGCTGTAAGTGGATTTCTCAGCAGAAACAGGCTAGACGAGGAGGCAGTGAAATGATAAATTTGAAACGCTGAAGGAAATGAACTGCCAAACAAGAACGCTTTATCTGCCAAAGCTGTCCTTCAAAAATGAAGGAGAGAGAAAGGCTTTCCTAGACAGACAAAAGCTGAGGGAGTTCATCACTACTCAACCAGCCTTACCAGAAACGCTAAGGTGAGTTTTTCAAGGTGAAATGAAAAGACACTAATCAGAGTAACATAAAAACATACGAAAATACAAAGCACACTGGTAAAGGCAAGTATACAAATTCAGAATGCTCCAATACTGTCAATATGGTGATGTGTAAATCACCAAACTTTAGTATAAAGGATAAAAGATAAGAGTATTAAAAATAACCCTAGCCACAATAATTCCTTAATGGTTACACAATATGAAAAGATATAAACTGTGACATCAAAAAGATAAAATGCAGGGGGGGGTGGGATACTAAAAGGGTACTTTTTATGTGATCGACATTAAGCTGTCATCAGCTTAAAACAGACTGTTGTAAGATGTTTTCTGTAAACCTCATGGTAACCACAAAGAAAAAACCTACAACAGCTAAAGAGAAAGGAATCAGAGCACAGCACTATGGAAAATCATCAAATCACAAAGGAAGAGAGGAACAAAGGAAAAAAGAGACTACAAAAGAGCCAGAAAACAATTAACAAGATGGCAATCGAGAAGTCCTTACAAAATTCTCCAATCAAAAGACACACAGTGGCTGAACGGATAAACAAAACAAGACCCAGTTACATGCTGTCTACAAGAGACACACTCTAGTTCTAAGGAATCAAATAAGCTGAAAGTGAAGGAATCAAAAGTTATTCCATGCAAATGGAAATCAAAAGACAGTAGCTTATACTTGTAAGTAGCTATACTTATACCAGACAAAATAGATTTAAGTCAAAACCTGTGCCAGGAGACAAAGAAAGTCATTATATTACAATAAAGGAGTCGATTCATCTAGAGGATGTGACAATTATAAGTATATATGCACCCAGCAGAGTACTGGAATATTTTAAGCAAGTACCAACATATTGGAAAGTAGAAAAGACAACAACGAAACACTAAGGGCAGACTTCAATACCCATCTTTCAAGAATGGGGGCCAGCCCCGTGGCTGAGTGGTGAAGTTCGTGCGCTCCACTTTGGAGGCCCAGGGTTTCGCCAGTTCAGATCCTAGGCACGGACGTGGCACCACTCATCAGGTCATGCTGAGGTAGTGTCGCATCTAGCACAAGCAGAGGCACTCATGACTAGAATATACAACTATGTACTGGGGGGCTTTGGGGAGAAGAAGGGAAAAAAAAAGGAATGGGTAGATCATCCAGATAGAAAATCAATAAGGAAATATTTGACTTGAACTACACTTTAGACCAAATAGACTTAACAAACAAATACAGAACATTCCATCCAACTACAGAAGAATACACATTCTTCAAGTGGACACAGAATACTCTCTAGGACAGATATGTTAGGTGATAAAACAAGTCTGAACAAATTTGATAAGACTAAAATCATATCAAGAGTCTTACCTGAGTACAAAGGTGTGAAACTAGGAATCAGTAACTGGATGAAAGCTGGAAAGTTCACAAATATGTGGATATTAAATAACACACTCCTGAATGATCAATGGGTTAAAGAAAAAAATCAAAAGGCTGATAAAATTATTTTGAGATGAATGAAAATGGAACTATAACACGCCAAAACTTATGAAAAGCAGTTCTAAAAGTAGTTAATGGTAATGAATGCGTACATTAAGGAGACATAAAAATCTCAAACTACCTAACTTTACATCACAAGGAACTATATAAAAAGAACAAACTAAGCCCAAATTTAGAAGGAAGGCAAAGAACAAAGATCAGAAATAAATGAAATACAGACTAGAAAAACAATAGAAAAGATCCACAAAGCTAAGAGTTGGTTTCTGAAAACAAACAAATCCATAAACCTTTAGCTAGACTAACTTAGGAAAGAGAGAAGATGCAAATAAAATCAGAATTGAAACAGGAGACATTGAAACTGATACTGTAGAAACACCAGATCTTAAGAGTCTACCATGAACTAGATTAACCAGAAGAAATGGATAAATTCGTACAAATATATAATCTATTAAGACTGAATGACAAATAGAAAATCTGAATAGACCAATAATGAGTAAGGAAATTGAATCATTAATCAAAAATCTCCCAACAAAGAAAAGCCCAGGACTAGACAGATTCACTAGTCAATTCTACCAAAGATTTAAAGGAGAGTTAACGCCAATTCTTCCTCAACTCTTCTAAAACACTGAAGAAGAAAAATGTCCAAACTCAATTTAGAACGTCAGCATTATACCCTGATACCAAAGCAAGATAAGGAAACTACAAGGGAATTAAATTACAGACCGATATCCTTGATGAACATAGAAGGAAAAACTCTCAACAAACTACTAGCAAACCAAATTCAAAAGGATATTAAAAGAATCTTACACTATGATCAAGTGGGATTTATCCTTGGGATGCAAATAAGGCTCATCATATATAAATCAATAAACAGGACACACCATATTAACAGAATGAAGGATAAAAATCATATGATCATTGAATAGATGCAGAAAAAGCACTTAAGAAAATTGAGCATACTTTCATGTTAAAAACCCTCAAGAAATTAAGTACAGAAGGAATGTACCGCAATATAATAAAGGCTATATATGATATGCCCACACAAACACCACACTCAATGGATAAAAGCTAAAAGCTTTCCCTCTAAAATCAGGAACAAGACAAAGATGCCCACTTTCCTCACTTCTACTCAAGATAGTTCTGGAAGGCCTAGCCAGAGCACTTAGGTAAGAAAAAGAAAACAAAAGGCATCAAAATCACAAGAAAGGAAGTAAAACTAGGTTGCAGAAGACATGGTCTTATGGATAGAAAACCTTAAAGACTCCACCAAAATACTCCTACAACTAATAAACGAATTCAGGAAAGTTGCACAACACAAAATCAACATACAAAAATCAGTGTGTTCTACACACTCACAGAGAAATATCTGAATAAGAAATGAGGAAACCGATCCATGGACATCATCAAAAACAATTAAAAACATACAAATAAATTTAACCAAGGAGGTGAAAGAACTGGACTCTGAAAGTTATAAGACACTGATGAAAGAAACTGAAGACACAAATAAATGGAAAAATATACTATGTTCTTGGATTGGAAGAATTAATATTGTTAAAATGCCTATACTCCCCCATGCAACGTACAGAATGCAATTTCTATCCAAATTACATTGGAATTTTTCACAGAAAAAGAAAAGGAATGTGAAAATGCATATGGAACCACAAATGATCTCAAAGGGCCAAAGCCATCTTGAGCAAGCAGAGCAAAGCTGAAGCTATCACACTTCCTGATTTCAAACTACATTAGGGAGCTACAGTAATCAAAACAGCGAAGTACTGGCATAAAAACACACACAGAAGAATGGAACAGAACAAAGAGCCCAGAAAAAATCCCAGCCATATACGGTGAACTAATCTTTGACACAGGCGCCAAGACCACACAATGGGAAAGGATGGTCTCTTCAATAAATGGTGTTGAGTAAACTGGAAAATTACATGCTTCTTCCACCACTAACAACAATGAACTCGAAATGGATTAAAGAGCTAAAGGTAAGACATGAAAACGTGCAACCCCTTGAAAAAACACAGAGAATAAGTTCCTGGACAGTGGTGTTGGTAATGATTTTTTGGATATGACACCAAAAGTTCAGGGGAAAAAACATTAAATATAAACAAGTGGAACTACATCAAACTAAAAAGCTTCTGCACAGCAAAAGAAACAATCAACAAAATCAAAAGGCAACCTATAGAAAAGCAGAAGATATCTGCAAGCCATGGATGTCCTAAGGGGATAGTATTTTAAAAATGTAAGGAACTCACTTAACTCAACAGCAAAACAACAATCTAATTAAAATATCGGCAAAGGCTCTGATTAGACATTTTCCCAAATTTGATACCCAAATGGTTAACAGGTATATGGAAAATTGCTCTTCCTCACTAATCATCAGAAAAATGCAAATCCAAACCACAATGAGATAATACCTCATACCTTAGGATGGCTATCATCAAGAACAGGAGAGAGAAATGTTGGCAAGGGTATGGAGAGAAGGGAGCCCTTGCACATTGTTAGTTAGGAAATTAGTTGAGCCATTATGAAAAAGAGTATGGAAGTGCCTCGAAAAATTCAAAATAGAACTATGACATGATCCCGCAATCCCATTTCTTGGCATGTATCTGAAGGAAATGAAATCAGAATGTGGGAGAGATAATCTGCCCTCTCATGTTCGCTGCAGCATTATTCACAATACACAAGATACGGAAACAACCTGAGTCTCCAAAACTGAATAAATGGATTTAAAAAAGCGTGATGTATACACACACACCGGGATTATTATTCAGCCTTAAAAGAATAGAAAATCCTTCCATATATGACAGTATGGATGAATCTGGAGGGCATTATGCCAAGTGAAATAAACCACTCAGAGTAAAACAAATACTGTATGATATAACTTATATGGGGAATCTAAAACAAACACACAAACAAATAATGTTTGGCTCAGAGAGAGTAGAATGCCAGGTGTTGAGGAGTGGTAAAAATGGGGAATAGTTGGTGAAAAAGTACGAACCTTCAGTTATAAGATGAATAAGTTCTGAGGATCTAATGTACAACACGGTGACTACAGTTAATAATGCTGTATTTTACACTTGAAACTTACTAGGAGAGTATATCTTAAGTGTTCTTACTAAAAAAAAAAGTATACGAGGTGACAGAAGTGTTCGTTCACTTGATTATACAGTTACTTCAGAACTTATAGATATACAAAATCATGATGTTGTACACTTTAAATATATAACATTTAAAAGAACGACAATGCTGGAAGAAAGAAAAGAAAGACACTACAAACTGCACAAGAGTGTCTTGATAAAAAGCCCATGGTCCAGGTAAATAGTGACCATGACAATGCTTGCAATTCCAGGCACAGGCAGGCACGAGGAAATGGCAGCTAAAGGAAGCCATCAAACACACAAAAGTGTCAAGGAGTTGGGACACATTCATCTTGCCAGGGAGAGGGCAAGCAAGGCGCCATCCACTAGCCTCACTGCAAGACTACTGACCTGGAATCCTTCCCTGTGAGGGCTCAGTACAGAGGGTACTGGGGCTGCAGGGGAGAGAAGAGGGCGGTGCACACACCCAGCTCCAGCATCACAGCACCACCCAGAAACATGGGGAAGAAAGCAGTGCCCACATTCCCCTGTGAGAGGAAAGAACCCCATGGGAGAGGCGGGTGAATCAGGATAGAGCTTAGTCCAGGTCACGGGGAGGGAGAGGGCCTTACCCAGCGAGGATATGAGTGCAAAGTTCTCCAGCATCACATCGTGGTACAAGTGCCTCTGAGCTTCATCAAGGAGCCTCCACTCCTCCCAGGAGAAGTACACGGCAACATCTCCAAAGGTCACACTGTCCTGTCAGGATGGGGACAGAGGAAACCACGAACTTTCTCTCTCAGAACCCACAGGCCCTCACCTCACACATCTACTCCACACTCTTCCTCCTCCAGAGCTCCCCACCTCAGAGGGGTTACCAGGCCCTGCTGCCACTGACACCCGCTCTCTCCTCAGGGTCCCATTCACGACTGTGTCCAGCCCTCAGCAATAACAGGCAGGGGGACACACAGATGCCACCCAAGCTCTGGGCCTGGCCAGCAGGGCCCCATCCCTCCTGCAAAGCAACTTCCCTGCATTTCCCAGAGTGTAGCTACAAGACACAGCTAGCCGTGGGCTCATGCTTCACCCCTAAGTCCCCACTACACGGGCCTTGGGGCCCTCAGCTCACAATACCTATGTAAAGGCAAATTATTATGGAGACACCACACTCTCATATCTTTAGTCCCCAGAGCTCTGCCACCTCCCTGCCCTACAATACAGGCATCACCTGGCACTCACCCGTGGACATGGCATGTGGCATCCAGAGAGCATTTCACAAACTCAAACACAATCCAGTACCTTCCCAGTCCTCGGATGGATCCCACAGCCAGGGAAAGCCCCAGATGCTGCTTTGAAGGCCTCCCCACCTGCCTCTGATCCTTGCTTCAAGATCAGCCACCCAGAACCACATGTGAATTTCAGATACCCATGACCCTTTTCCACTTCTGTCATGCACTTTCTGTCCCCTCAGCAGCACAATCTGCCTCTCCCCACTTAATCTCCTTAAAACCCCAGCCATACAGTCTCCCTGCCAGGCAGAGTGACTCTCACAAATGACTACATTCAACCCAGATCTTATCCACCACCAAGACTCGAACACCCAGACCCCATCAGGGCTCAACACACAATGCTGGTGAATGTGAACATTAGTGAATTCGCAGGAGCCCCAGACTCACTGTCAACCTGTCTCATTTACTCCTCTGCCTCTGAAGTCATCTCCCACCCACTCATCCCATGGAAGCCTTGGCCGCCTGCCAGATCATGCTCTCTCCCACACCCTTCCATGGCCACGGCCCTCCCTCACCTGTGTTTCTCATACTCAGGAACCTCAACCAGGTGCTAAGCAACAGAACCATTCCTCAGCATGCACCCCAGTCTTTCTGACTCGCGAACAGCATTATCACTATATCCCACATTCCACTTCGTAAATGTGATCCACAGCTCCGCCCGGGTCCACACTAAGAGCCACAACAGCCATTTGAAAGTCTCCATCCTGAACCTCTCCCTAGATTGCCAGACCTGTGTCTCCGGATGCCCACTTGATGTCTCTACTCAACGTTTTCTCAAACTCCTCAGACTCTTAACAGGGTCTGAATAAAACTTCTGATATTCCCAAGGAAAACAGACCTACCGATAACTTCCACATCCCACTTGACGGAACTTCCATCCCTTCAGCAGCTACAACCCAAAACCTTGGAGTCATCCCTAACCTCTCCTTCAATTTCGTTGCTGTTGGTGCCATCGATTCAATTCAGCCTCCTGGTGATCCTGTGTGCAGCAGGGCGGAACCTGGCCCAGTCTTTTTGGCACCATCCTCTCATCTTCTAGCGCTGTATCAGAGAATGCTCTGCTGCTATTCATAGGGTTTTCAAGGCCAAGTTTTTTGGAAATGGCTGGCCAGGTGCTTCTTCCTAGTTTGTCTCAAATCTGGAAGCTCCACGGAAACCTGCCCACTATGGGTGACTCTGCTGGTATTTAACGTAGTGATGGCGTAGCTTTCAGCATCACACCAACAAGCAGCTGCCACAGTACGACATGTGACAGAAATGCAGTTTGGTTCCCTAACTGGGGAAGAAACCTAGGCTGCGGAAGTGAGAGCACCGAATCTTTTTTTTAAAGACTGGCACCTGAGCTAACAACTGTTGCCAATCTTTCTCCTTCTTTTTTTTATTCTTCTCCCCAAAGTCCCCCAGTACACAGTTGTATATTCTAGTAGTGAGTGCCTCTGGTTGTGCTATGTGGGACGCAGCCTCGTGTGGCCTGATGAGTGGTGCCATATCCATGCCCAGGATCCGAACTGGTGAAACCTTTGGCCTTCGAAGCTGAGTGGGCCAGCTAAACCACTTGGTCATGGGGCCCACCCAGAGGGCACCGAATCTTAATCAGTGGACCAGCTGGCCCTCCCTCAACTACAACATCCAAAAATCAACTTGGCCCTCCTTCAAAAATGGACCTAGAATCCAAACTTTTCTCCCACCTCCATGGCTACAACTCTGGTCCATCAACACTGAGATTACAGCAGTAGCCTCCTCCTGAGTTCTCTGCCTCCTCCCTTAACTCACAGTCTGTGCTCTTCTCTGCAGGAGATGGAGCCTCCTAAGACCTGGGTAAGACCACCTACCTCCTCTTATCCAGACCTCTCACTATGTCCATAATAGACACCTAACTTCTCAGGCGGCCACATTACAGGACTGATTCCTGACTCCCTACTCTTTGTTTCTCACGGAAAGAATGGAGACCTGCTGTCCCCTGTCTCCAGCTCAGTCACACCTCCAAGCATTTGCACACGCTGGTATCCGTTCCTGGGATAACCTTCTGCACCTGTTTATACTGGTTGTCAGAAATGGGAACACTTTCATGTCACCCTCGGCCTGCACTCAGGACACAGGGCTTGGGGGTATCCTCAGGGTCCCCGCACCCGAGAGCTGTGAATGCAGCAAGTGAAGAGTCTCAAGACGCCACAATCACGGACTCCACACGGCTGGTGTTAGTACCACCGAGGGGCTGGGACACCCTCTCCTTCCCTGTGCAGGTTCCGTAAGTGCTTTTTCCTGTCCCAGAACCTGTGGGGAGAGGCAGGCCACCACGGCTGGGCTCCAGGTGCACACGCCTCCCCTGGACCCCGCCCCGCGACCTAGTGACCCCGGTTCACTCACTGACCTCCGGACCTCACTCCTCAGAGCTGCCTCGGACCAGCTCTGCGCCCTCGGACCAGGACTCCGCTCCCTGCGCCTCCCCGGCCTCCTCACCCCTTCCCGTCCGTTCTCTCCGAGCAGCTCCTGGAGAACTTTTTAAACCCGAAAACGCACCGCGTCCCTCTCTGTTCACAGCCCTCCCGGCTCCAGGCCCCTCCGATTGAAGGAGCAGCCCCTCCCCTGCCGGTCCAGGGGGGACCCCTCCTTACACTGTTCCCTGCGAACACAACGCGGACCCGGGGCCCGTCTGCCTGGGACCCTCGCCCGCAGCCCGGCCCCCGCCCGCAGCCACAGGCCCCACGAGCGCCTCCCCGGCCCGGCCCCGGGGCCTGGGCTGCAGGCCCGGGAGCAGCGCCCGCCCGAGGGCTGAAGCTCGGGCTGCGCTGCGGGCGGGGCGGGCCGGAGCCGAGCGCTCACCTGAGCCGGCTCCCTCCGCGCGGCCGCCGCCATCGGCCTCGGGGGCGGCGCGGGGCCGGGAGCGGCGGGAGACGAGGCGCCGGGCGCGGCGCTCCCTGGCCCGGGCCTGGCGCGGGGCCCCGGGCGGCGTCGCCGAGCCTCAGAGCCGCCTGGGCCGCGGGGACGGAGCCTCCTCGGTGCCGCGTGCTCCTCCGGAACTCTTCAAAGAGTTAACAAACCCCAGAGCAGCAGAAAAGACTGCCTTGAAGAAGACGCCGGAAGACCCGGCCCCACTCTTGAGACCAAACGGAAATGCTTTTTTTCTGAGCCTTCATTGGCTGAATGACTCCTCTTTCCTCGCGGAGCATGCCGGATAATGTAGTGCCCACAGTGTAAGGCCAATGGACTCCAGAAGAAAGGTCCTGCTGCACCCCCAGGGGCCTTGGGATGTGATGCCTCTGTTTCCAAAGGCAGTCGAGCGGTTCACCCCTTCTTAAAGGGGCCGTATGCAGATTTTGGGGGACATTTTTCTGCAACTGATCACCGAAGCCTTCAGGCCGTGAATTAGGGTGACAGATGTTTCCCAAAATCCCATGGGCAGCAAGGCATGTTTGCCCAAAACTCACGTGCCATTTTGTGCCCTAATACTGTTCCCTCAAAGGCACCCAAAGTTCGAGACTCTGCAAAAGTTGTAATGCTTGCAGAGTCCAAATCTGTTTATAAACCACCCCACACAGTGAACAGAACCTCTAAGAAAAAGAGGACTGAAACATTGAGCCTTTCTTATCGTACAACCCAACCAAAGTGTGGCGGGTAGTTCTTGGGTTGGTGACTTGGGAGCTGGAAAAACTCATCACAAGTATCACATGAAACCAACATTTCCCTGAAAAGGTAGTCCTTATTGGAAAGGTGCCACTAGAATTCATTAGGTATCCTCTAGGTCAAAACTGAGTGAAGTCCATGCCCCAACTACTCAGAGAGAAGGGAATGCGGAAGCCCTGGGGGCTCAGGCTACTCATAATTTGCTCCAATACCTGAGAGAACACAGGTCGGCTTCCTTGAAGACATTGGGATGGTGACTGGTGCATACAGTGTGGACCTGCCAGGTGGTAGAGGTGAAATGGCTTCGACAACAGAAACTGGTAATGACATAAATCCATGAAGGGTCCTGTGCAGGGTAGAAAGTGCAACACAGCCACGCATGCTTCTCACATAAATTAGACTTTTGGGGAATCTCCCCTGGTTGTTTGGATGTTTGGATGTATGAGACTCAAATCAGGCCAATGGCTAGTCACAGAGTCTTTGATCCACTTTTGTTATATTGAACAACGAAACTGCAGATTCCCTGTACAACTAAGGTCTTTCTCCAGTGTCAAGTCTCCAATGATGATTGAAGTTGGAGCTATAGCTAAAAGATTTCCCACTGTGTAAATTATTGAAAGAATCCTTAACTAAATTGGAGGCAGGAAGGCCTGTGTGGGGAACTCTCATGCCCTATCAGCCATGGTCGATTATACCAAACAGGAAGAGACACACTCTTGCATCTTTGACAGGAAGCAAAACTACTTTACTACTGAAAGAAGATTTCTCTCCCCACCCACCAACAACCCAGCCAATGAGAAACGCTGTAGCTCAGTGAAGCCCTTGCTGCCCTGAACTGTTACTTTCTTCCAGTGAACTATCCTTTAGAACAACCCGTCCCTACTCCCTTTTTTTTCTATAACAGGAGCTCCCCTTCTTTGTTTACTGGATTTGTCTCTGGTTTGCCTTAGCATGCACATCCCGAATTACAATTCTTTTGGCTATTCCTGAATAAACTTATTGTGAGGGTAAAATAATATTCGAGTTTGCTTTTTAACTTGGTAAGAGATTGTATATTGTCTGCATAACTAGGTCTTTCTTCATTGTGAAGGCTCTAATGATAACTGAGGGTGGAGCTACAACTAAAAGATTTCCCACATTCACTACACTCTTAAGACTTTTCTCCATGGTGTATACCCTGGTTCTGAATAAGAATGTCTTTGCAGCTGAAGGCTTTCTTGCTTTCGCTCCAGTTGTGATGACATTTTCTACCACCCTCATATTTGGTGATTTTCTTCAGCCTCTCCCCGGTATGAGTGGCCTGCTTATAGAGACGTCCCAAGGTGGCCAGGAAGTCCTCCCCAGCCTCCACACAGGTAAAGGGCTTCCTGGACACAGGGAATTTGCAGCTCTTCACAAATGAGGCCCTGTCCATGTTGCTTCTGAAGTTTTTCACCAATGTGCTGCTTCTCGTGACACTGAAGGTTTGCATTGAAATAAAATTATTTGCTACATGCTGCTCCCTTGTAAACAGTTTCTACCCACCATATTTTCCATGGTGCTCAGCCAAATGTGTTTCACAGTAAAATGTGTTTCAAGATGCAGGCACGCATCTCACAGGGCTGGATGTTTGGGACCTGCATTGGGAGTCCTGCCACTCCGTCTCCAGAAACACTGCTGAGAAGGTAGCTCTTTGTTCTCTGCTCTGCGCCAATGACCTGAAAGCACAGAAGTGACGGTGAAGCACGTGTTGATGGTGTTGGGAGGAATGAGTCTACACTGACTCATTGAATTACATCCGACTGAATTACTCCATTGTATTGCATCCAGGAATGAGTCTATAGGGTGCTTTTCAAGAAGTGGGAGTGGGGGTCTGGTTGTGCATTACTGGGCCCATAAGGTCACAGAATGGTAGAGATCTCACCACAGGAAAGGTACAAGGACAGGGTGTGGCACAGGGAGACAAGACAGGTCTGTAACTCCTTCCTCCACCAAAGGCTTTCATAGAAACTTGTGTGCTGGTGACATGTAAGGCTGTGCAGAGACATATTAAACCCAGGACTACCCAATTGCAAAAAAGAAGCATGAATTCAAGGCCAATTTAAGGATATGTTCACACCTCAGGGCACAACGTGTACGAGCCAATGGTGGAGAGCCCTGCAGAAGGAGTGGGGAGAGAAATGGGTCAGATGTGGAATCCAGAGAGGTGGATTATCCCTGGGCTGGAAGTCACAGAGAAAATGATTAGTAGTAGAATTGACAAGTCGGAAAAGTGTCAATATGGGGAAGGAAAGATATAAACGGAGTGTGGCCACTGGCAGTGGCACCAAAGCTGTGGTTGAACAGGACAGGCTCCTGCTATGATCTGAACATGAGCCTGATATCACACCCTGCCCAGCTGCCACTCACCAAGGTCAGGTCCTTTTTGAACCCACCCTGCCATGGCTGGAGTCATGTCCATCCTGTGAAGCACAGAGGACTCTTCCCTCTAAGTTCTAGTTGGGTAACTACATGGGACATGGAGGACACAAGTACTGAAGGAAAAACCAACAGGTGAGTGGGCAGCACTGGCCTAGAGCAACTCAGCACAAAGCAGACACAGGAAAGAGGCCCAAACAAAGAGAACCATGCAGGAGGTCTTGAAAAACAGCTCATGGTCCAGGGAAGTAGTGACCATGAGAATGCATGTAATTTCTGGCACAAACTGGCACAAGGAAACGTCAGCTAAAGGAAGGGAGAAACCTGGGGTACAGAGGTGCCGTGGATCTGGATACAGTCACTGGCCAGGGAGAGGCAAGCAAACTAGGCTCCATTAGGCTCACTGTAAACTTCTCATCCAGAATCTTTCCCTATGGGGCTTCAGGGCAGCACAGGCAGGGCTGCAGGAGAGGGGAGAAGCCAGTGCAAGCAACCCAGCCCTATCAACCCCAGCACCTGCCCAGGGAAATGGGGAAGGAAGCGGTGCCCATGGTCCTGATGCAAGAAGGACGGAGCACCTCCCAGGGAAAGCAGGATGGAGAGGGTGGAGGATGCACAGTCTAAACCAGGTCACTAGGGAGGGTTTGAGCGCCTTGCCCCATGAGGATACGAGGATATAGGTGATAAGTTCTTCAGAATCACCTCGCGGTACAGGTGTCTCTGAGCCTCATCAAGGTACCCCACTCCTCCCAGAAATACACAAGCGTGTCCTCACATGTCATAGTACCCTGGCATGATGGGGACAGATGAGATGAGGAGCAGCCTCTCTGAGGACCCACGTCCATACACACCTTCCTCCAGAGCTCAGCATCTGAGAGGAGATGCCAGTCCTTGGTGCCACTGATGCCCACACTCTCTTCGTGGTCCCATCAACACCCTGCTCAGTCCTCAGCAGCAAGAGGCAGGAGGGCAGATAGACACTGTCTAAGCAGTGGGCCTGGACTGCAGGGCCCAACCCCTCCTGCCAGGAAATAACCCTGGGGCCCCAAGATCATGACTCCCAGACACAAGGCAACCCGGCTTCTCAATTCCACCTCAGTCCCCAACAGGAAGGCCCTGGGGCCATCAGCTCACACTTCCTCTCGATGTGCACATCATTCTGTAGACCATCTCTCTCACATGTCCAGACACCAGAGTCACCCTCCAACAGCCACCACCACCTCCCCGCCCCACCTCATAGGCATCTCCCTGGACCCACCCATGGACTTGGCACATGGCATCCAGAGAGGGCTTGACAAGTTCAAACATGATCCAGCACATCTCCAGACCCCTGATGGATCCCAATGCCAGGGAAAACCCTGAATGCTGCTTTGGAGGCCTCTCCACCTGCCCCTGATCCTTTCTTCAATATTAGCCATCCAGAACCACATGTGAGTTTGAGACCCTATGACCCACTTCCACTTCTGACATCACAGAACTCTATTTAGCCACATGTACATTTAGCCACAGATAAGATGATTTTTCAATGATCCAGTACTATGTCCATAAGTTAGTCATAATAAAAGACATATAATTTTTTAAATATGGATAATAAAGAAGAAGTAAAAATTCAGGTCTTTCAAAGTTGCCATTGACAAATAAAAATGGCAAGCAATAGGAGATATTGGAGTATATGAGGAAGCCATTTAGTATAAACCTAATTCGGCCTGACTTTCTTTTTCCAAAAGGGCCTGACTGTGGCCATTGAGCATTCATTGTATATCTGCTTAGACATTTTGAGATAAAGGTGCAACTTCCCTCCCCCTCCCAACATTGGCATCTCCTTAAAGATTAAGCATCTTTCTTTAGGCTGGGAACTGATTGCAGCGCTCATCTGTGACTGCCCAGCTCGAGGCAACAGACCTGCCACCCTGTGGGGTTCACTGAGACAGCAGGCCTGTCTGCTGTTTCCATCAATCGCTGTGCTGACAGAGCAGCCTCGTGACTATTGTAAAAGGGACATTTCATTCATATGTGAAACATTCTCTTTGAGGGTATATAACCACCTTGTATACCCCCACTTCTTTGGAGTGCTCTGTTCCTCTGTGGAAAGACTCTCCCGGGTTATAATCCTCAGATTTAAGCTCAGAATAAACTCACCCAAATTTTCATTTATAGATTGGTTATGGATTATTTTCATCAACACCATTATTTGCCAATGACTGTCAAATTTTTCTAAAAATTGTTTTTGTTTCATAAAAAAAAATTCCAAAATATTCCTTTAGTACTTGAAACAGAAGTTTAACGGTGGTTTGATATAATGAACACTGAAGTAAATTTTTTTCAATTGAATTTTTAAAAAGAATTCTGATCACTTGACTCATGTGAATAAACATGTCTCCTCTGGAAAGTTTCTGGTCTTTGGCGTGTCTGTCATGACCTGGCAAAAGAAATGATCACGACATCCTCTGCTTTCTGTTTCTCTCTCTCTCTTTCTCTCTCACACACACACGCACACACGCTATTCTTAAACTCCTTTCAATTCTTTGAAGTCTTGAAAAACATCCACAATTTAGATATTCCTGGGATTTTTCTCTCTATTTGAAAGGACCTTCACCCAATATGTTTAGAAAACGCAAATAAATCTTTTGGGTGTCAGCTTACAGTTCAAATCAGCAGTGAGTTTTGTAAGGGTAAATACAAATCCGAAAAAGGAAAAAAAAAAAATCCCTGAGGAAAAAGGGGAAGCTACTTCACCCACCCACCGCTTTTCTTAGAGTATTTGCTTTAGAAAACTTGTAATTGTAAATTCTTCCTCTGCTCCTTGGAGATATATGTAAGTATGTTTAAAAGCTAAATAAGATTCTTGCCAGTTTTACAACCCAGGAACCTTTTTCTTGAAGACCTGAGGACATCTCTGAAATGTAATCATGGGAAAAGCTTGGGTCACGTCTCCCAGTCTCCATGGGACAGTAGGAGCCTAACTTCAGCAGGAGCCTGGGTCCAACTTACAAAATTCCCTCCTGCCATAAAGACATGAGAAGTTTATTTTTCCTTAGGATAAAGGCAACTGGCAAATACCAGTGGCCACTCTAAATATGAGGTGAATTTAAGATGGACTGTGTGTGACAAATGGTCTTGTCAAGTCCTCTTACCTGAGGGCTAGCTATTGTCGATCTTGAGAACATGTGATCCTGGGTTGTATCTGCCTGACTATGCACAAGGCTGAGAGTTCTTATTGACCTTACGGTCTCTGGTGGGTTGCCCATGATGCGCATCACATCCTGGTTTCATGCTTATTCAACAAGATAACAGTTTTCTACTTGTGTGGAGAGGTTTTGTGGGTCAGCAGAGATTTTGTTTATAGTTATATTTCCCCAACAGTTTCTACCTCAGAACTCCAAAACACCGAAAATTCCTGACATGGCATTATCATGAAATTCTCAAATTTCAGTAGAGAATGCCACTACCGTTCTAGAAAGTCATCTTTGAGTAATTATTATTTTTAGACTTTTTATTGTGGTAAAATAGACATAATATAAAATGGGCCATCTTAACCATTTTAGGTATAGAATTCCGTGGGATCAAGTACATTCACGTTGTTGTGCAACTCTCAGCACTATCCATCTCTAGAACTTTTACATCACCCCAAAGTGAGCCTCCAAACTCGGGAGACAAACATCCCCATTCCCCTCTCCCCTCAGCCCCAGGTAACTAGTCCTCTACTTTGTGTCTCTACGAGTTTGACTACTCTAGATACCTCATACAAACAGAATCATATGAGAGCTGTCTTTTCTTTTCTAGCTTATTTTACTTACAAAAATATCTTCAAAGTTCACCCATGTGGTACCATGTATGAGAATTTAATTCATTTTTAAGGCTGAATAATATCCAATTGTACATATATTCCACATTTTGTTTATCCATTCATCCATTCGTGTACATTGGATTGTTTCCACATTTTGGCTATTGTGAATAACGCTCCCGTGAACACTAGGGTACAAATATCTGTTTGAATCTCTGCTTTCCATTCTTTGCAGTATAGTGGAATTGCTAGATCATATGGTAATTCTAAGTTTAATTTTTTTCAGGCACAGCCATATATTTGAGTAATTATACCAAGTTCATTTATTGACAAACCAATAAGCAATATGAAGTCATAGTTATTATGATTTTTATTCAATACTGAATCTGAAAGTCCTTGCATATAAGCCCACAAAGGTTGAGAAAAGCACTCCAATAAACAGTAGGATGTTCTGGAGGGAATTTATGGCCCACAGACCATGCTTGGAGCACTTGTGTTCTTCGTCCAGCAGACAAAACACAACTCCGAGATACGGGTTTCAGTGAAAATGAACACCAAGGAGCTGAATGTTGGAAAGCCTAAGACTCCAGGACAGAGGTTTTCTTCAGCCAGTAGGGTGGATTCACAAGGTGGGTCATCCAAAATGATAGAATACCTGCTAGAGAGTGCAAGAAGACAAACATGTTCACCAGGGTCAGGATGGCGCTTGTGGCTCTGGCCTTGTGGGAGGGTCTGGGGCAAAGTCTGTTGCGGTGAACGTGGTGGACTTGCTGCTTGTGCTTGTGCAGGACAAGGACCATGGAGCCACTATGAGACCCAAACACACACCATCAGTAAGGAGTAAATGACTGCAGATATACAGAATACCAGTCTCTCAGGACTCAGTGACCAACAGTATCTGTAAGTGTTTTCCACACTCATATTCCTGCTGTGTTTTGGGTCTTTTACATTCATAGTAATAAACATTTACCAAGAGATGTAGGATCCAGCAGATGAAACAGCAGACTCCAAAGCACTTTGGGGCTCACATTCTGGGCTCCATCCAACTAGAGAAACTGGGGCAGAGCTTAAAGGCCTGGGATCTACTGAGGACGCAGCTGGTGCTGAGAGAAACCACCATGACTTCTCTGTGTAAACAGAAGACAAATTTACATCCAGCATCACTGAGAAAAGATTTCAATCCAAAAGCCACCACTGTCTGAGGGATCCCTTTAGAGAAAAGAACCAAGTTGTTAAGTAAGACCAGTTGGTTGAGAATCAGGTCTGTGGGTCTCAAGACGTGTGCAGTGAGCAAAGTAACATTATAAAGACAAAGGAGAAAACACTTTCCAAGGATTCCAGCACCAATCCGAGTGAGGAAGCTAAGACTCCAATATAAGCTAATAGAAACCAATCCAGGGGCCAGCCCGTGGTGGAGTGGTTGGGTTTGCGTGCTCTGCTTCAGTGGCCCAGGGTTTTGCCAGTTCGGGTCCTGGTCGTGGACATAGCACCGCTCCTTGGGTCATGCTGAGGTGGCATCCCACATGCCACAACTAGAAGGACTCACAACTAAAAATGCATAACTATATACCAGGGGGCTTTGGGGAGAAAAAGGAAAAATAAAATCTTAAAAAACAAAACAAAACAAAATCAATCCGTCCATGTAGAGATGATGCAGTTTGATTTTATTTGAATCAGAGGAACCTGGAGACTAAAGAGAAAATTGGGTTATTTTCATAACATCCAGGAAATGTCTTTTCTCAAAAAATCCATTATTCCCAGTGAATCTGAACATGAAGGATGACTTCTGGTTTCTGGTTCTGCGTATAAGGAGCTTGGAACTTGCCACACTGACCTCACAGAAAGTAAAAAGCTAAACAGACTGGAAAACAAACAACTCTTCTTGGACCCGTAAGAGAGGGTAGGACACAGGGCAAACTGCTGCTCCTGAGATTGGAGGGACATATGGGTGATCACACAGAGTCACGGACCAGCGGAGCAGAGAAACTGAAGAGCAGAAGCTGCCATGGGAACCAGTGCCAGGCAGGAAACCTGAACTGTAATTGGTGAATTGCAGGAGGCTCAGTGCCGGCAACTCTGAGTTAGAGACTCCAGGGGCCCAGTCATAAGGGAGCCCCCCCAATACTGAGAGATTTACTCCAGGAGCTTGACCAGATTCACACAGTAAATATTTAAGGAAAAATCCCCTTGATTAGTTAGCAATGTTGATTGCAAACTCCAGGGCAACCACAACAACAACAAAAAAGAAGTATAACTGAAATGCTAAGAAAGGAGAAAAAAAGGAATTATATAAAATGCTCAATTAAAACCAAAAAAGGCAGAAAAAGCGTGGAACACAAAAATAGGAAAAAAGAATAAGGGCAACAAACGAACATGAAGAACAGGCCTTTTGAAACCACAAATCTATTTCTTGCAGCATAATTTCTAAACGACAAAGATTGGAAACCTCCCAGCTTCAGTCAGCGCAGGGTGGAATGAATCCCGGCGCCTCCTACGAGGGAGCCGGGGCTGCTGTGGTCGCGATGAGGACGTTCTCTTGACTGTAACCCTGACGGGACTTACTGTGATGTGCAAAGAAACAAAAAGAGAGCCTCAGGACATCCTGTGCCATTAGCTTTATTTTACTAAGAACCAGAGAGAAATATACATTGATATGTTTTTGTGTATCTTTATATTTTAAAAATGCAAGAATAAATCCTAAAAACTCTAAAATGGGTAGCTGTGAGGCAGAGAGGAAACTGCCAGGGAGACAGGACGAAGCTCCACTGCTCTGACTGTCTCTTGGTTTGGTTTAGAAGTTTATACATATTTTTCCCAAATACATAAATTGCCAAAAATATTTTCAAATATAATTCATAAACCTAAAGAGAAAATCTAAAAAAAATAAGGAATAAATGTAACTTTATTCCAAATTAGGGTTTAACTAAGCAAAGAGGATTTCCACTGAATTTTAAGCAAAATTATTTTATTACCTGTTCTGCATTGATAAATAATTGAACAAAATAAAAGTAAAATGTTTAGGTAATAATATTATGAATAAATATGATGAGCAATTCATTTCCAGATTTTACATATGCACACATATAGTATATATACATAGTCTTTAAATATCGTCTTTACTGAAAGCAAGACAAGTTTCCTGACGAAACTGCTGGATCCACATCTAGAGCAGGCAGTGCGGGGGAGGAGCTCAGAAGCTTCCTGCACAAGAAAGCAGAGGGGCCACCAAAGACCACCAGGTTCATGGGAACAGAACAGAAAGGTTAGCATGAAGGAGTCCCACTGGCAAAGGGTGGGACGTTTATGGCACCAAGTAATATTTGTAATGATTAAAATGAATATATACAAACCTATATGTTTAATACCGCTATAAAAAAAAAACAAAAAAATCCTTACAACTGGGGAATGGTAAAGAACCAAATCACCACGATGAAAACGTGAATGAAATAAAGAAGAAGGATCAAGATCTTTCTTTCTCTCAGAACTATTCCTCAGGAAACTTTCTCTTCTTGGTAGATGGTTTCCACCCAACAGAGGCAAAGGGAGGACTGACCTGGGTCATCCTTACCCTGACTGTACAGTCACTGAACCTCAGTGGCTGCCAAACTCCTTAGGAGCCAGTCAGTGGTGAATATCCTACTGGATGGATCTGGCTGATGATACAGGAACCTCCTGATTACATGGATCATAATGTCACAAAAATAGAGACAAGTGTATATTATATTTTCATGTGATGCAAAAGAAGTAGACAGAAGTAGACATGAACACCTATGAATGAGTCTACCTGAATGTTAAGTAGAATAACTATCTGTTTAAGGAACTATGGGGCAAAAAAGTCATGCAGAAAGATACCTCAAGGAGGGAGTAGGCCAAGTCAGAATAAGGAGAGTTCTGTATGATAAATGACCTCTTTCAGGAAACAAAATATTTCAAGATAAAAGACGGAGGGTATCTGTAAAATATAGCAAAATCAAGGGACATATAAATATTATACAATGGTTAGAAAATTGGTTGGATGCTGATTCAAAGAAAATATTCTGAATATTTAATAAACCCTTGCAAATTTTAACAATGACCAGGTACTCGATGATACCAAAGAATTAATATGTTTATGGAGGATAAGATACTGTAAATAAGAAAAAGAAAAGTGTGTTTGTCTTTTAGAGAAATCAATGATGTATTTAGAGATGCAATTATATGGCTGCCAGGATTTGCTTGAACTTAATTAATTCCTGGAGAACTGGGTACAATTAGACATGAAGTGAGTTGAGCCCTGGATTGTCCTGGTGGAGCTGGGTGGTACATCCACATGGTCTGTTATTCACCTCCCCATCCTTTGTAGATGTCTGGAAATTTTCATATTAATGTTTAAAAATTCTTATCTCAACATTTAACAGATATGGAGACTTTACTCTTTGTCTGCTGCAACACTTTTTTTCTCCCAGGCACAATAATTGTATACCGTGCATCACTTAGCCTGCAATTTTCAGATAGTGTTGTGGTGAATTGAAGTCTCTTTATATTACTGTATTCTATCATTTTCAGAAGCCAGGTGCAAAAATTTAAATGCCTTCCCTATTCAGAGAGTCAAGTCAAAGGAAGGAGGCCAGCCATTCGGGCAGAATTGGAAAATGCAGAATGCAAGGCCCAAGGAAATGGGTGGCCGTTCCCAGTCCTAACTTTTCGTTAACATTTGTGTTACCATGTCATCAACTCTAGATTGTTTTTAAAAAATATCCTTAATTTTTACAAAAGCAAATTTCCAATTAAAACCTAAAGCACACAGACAAAATCCATCTACTGTTTAGGTAAGACTTACTGACTCCCACTTCCAGACCCCAGTAACGGATAAAGCTGTGGTTTCCTAAGGGAGCACTACCTCTAGTACACTTTTTACTTTTTCCAACACTAAAGAGCACCTTTTCAAGCATTAGAGTGGTTATAATTAGCAGCACATGAAAATCGTTCAGAAATAAGATCACATGCTGAAATCCACCATTTTTCAAATTCAGTATCCAGTGTCTCTAGCAAGGACAATCCAGAAGGTAAAAGTACAACCATACTTAGTTCCGTGGCAATCACACATTTACCTTTTAACCTGTGGAGATGACTCAGTTGAATAATTGCTAAATAAATTACTAATTGGTAAGTGGAATAAAGTGACATTAATACTTATAAGAGTTTAGAAAACGCTCAAATGCTTAGTAACATGAATAATTTACTAATTTTTCTCTCTAGAGAGAGTGTTATATTTGAACATATGATGAAAAAAGTGTTTTGAGAAAACGTGTGCAAATGTACAGAACAACCACGGAATTAAATAAATATTTCAAGAAAATGAAGAACACAAAATAGGATCTAACGAAATGTAGACAGAAACAATGATCTTGCATGAAATGCTTTGATATTTCAAATAATTTGATCAACTAAACATGTGTGTACAAAAAGCGTAATTTATAACTAAATGCAACTTTCCCAAATATCCTGTAATGGTGAAAGAAGAAAAGAAGAAGAAGAAGAAGGAGAAAGGAAATGAAATTGAGTGAATGGAATAGTTCTCACAAATATTCATTTAAATTATACAGCTTGTTTATAGCGAACCAAGGATATAGAACAGAGAGTCCAAAAAATAATTTTAAGCATTTGATAGGTAGGTAGATAGGAAAATAGATACAGAGATAGAAAAGTCATTGGATCTATTAATTTTTTAAAAACCAGAGAGCTAAGAACTAAGGTATACAACAATTTAGGAACTTAGTGTATAACTAAAAATGAGATAAAAATTAGTTGCAAAAAGGTTATTAAATACACGGCATAAAAATATTTGGACATGTAGTTGGAAAAATGGCAAATTTCTACTGCATGTCATTGAGATAAATGTATTCCTAGACTGGCTTATGAACATACAAATTAAAATACTGTAGATTAATCATATAGGATGTGTGTACTTTTTAAAAACATGAGTTGAGGCAAATACACATGAAGCAGTAGGAAGAAAGTGGGGCATCATACAATAATCTAGGAACATTAGAATATGCGCTAGCAGAACTCACGGAAAACGAAAGACAGAGACAGCCCTGGGGTCTAGCGGTTAAGATTCAGTGCTCTCACCCCCGCAGCTGGGGTTCGTTTCCGGTCGTGGAACCACACCACCTGTCTGTCAGTTGCCATACTGTGGTGGCAGCCACTCAAGCAGAAAACTAAAACGAACTACTAGGATACATAACCATGCACTGAAACTTAAGCAAATAAATAGACAAATAAAATGAAAGACAAAAATATAAAGATGAAATACAGAATATTAGAAAAATATTTTATATAACAAAACATGAAAGGGAGGTTGTTGGTAAGATTTTAAGTGCCCATCCTAAACAATGAGATGAGAGCATATGTCTTCTTGGCAGAGAAATTATATAAACAAGCCTTTCTCGGGACAAAAAGTACCATCAAATATAAAATGCGTTTCTCTCAAAATTATCATGCACATGTAAAATAAATTTTAAAAGCCATATAATGCTTCATTAAAAATACATTTCTTTGCCAAACGTTTAACTTAGAGGCACAGCTTCACTTTGTGTAACGAATCTTGATCTTAGAATTTTGCGTGATCATATCTAAACAAAATTAAATGAGTTAATTGTGGTTTCTGTTTGGTATTTCTTAAAGCAGAATGAGAATAGAATCTTTCTACATTTACAAGATATTATTAAGTAAAAAATAAATTTTTCTATTCATTTGATTTGACAGAAAATTTTATAATCACCTAAAATTTACGTTTCCCATAGAATTCAAATTAGGATTCATCAAAACAAGAACTGTCTTTATTTCTGCAATAATATTTTACTTGTTTACTTTACTAATTAGCAAGTTATTAAATTACAGTAAATGAATTACCTGGCATTGAAATTTGGGAAATAGTAGAATCTAGGTGAAGTGCAGATTATTTAAAAGAAACAGGTGCTAAAAAATAAAAAATGTTTCTGGAACGATACACAATAATCAACAACAGGTTAACCTCAGTGTGAGTTATAGAAGATGGAGAGAAAAGTGGGTGAGTAAAAGACACGAATTTCATTTATATGAACAAAAACCTGTTCAAATTTTTCTTAGGAACAAAGTAAAAAGTTTGTAACAACAAATAAAAGCAAATAAGAGAGATAGGAGAATGCCCGGTTAAATCATAAAGGAGTTATAAAAATAAATTTGAATTATACGCAGGCCAGACAATTGAGTAAGAGAGAACAACAGAATTTTGGTAAATATTTTCAAACAAGAAACTATCCGAATCCTGGACCAGCTGTGGTTGAGGACCCTGGTGCCCTTTAAGAACGGCGCTCATTTAGGGAAAAACAAAGGCCTTTCTCCTTCCCTCCTCAAAGCATCCTGCGGAGGCCCAGTTCCGGACCCCCGGGCACATCCTGCGGCCCCCGCGGTGACAGGCGCGCGCCCGCCCCGCAGCTCTTCCCGTTTGGAGCAGGCGGAGCTTTCGCCGCTGGAAGACCGAGCCGGCTGACAGCTTCGGACACGCGGCGGATCTGGGGCAGATGCAGAGGGTCGCAGGCTGTCACCGCACTTCTAATCTGGTTACAGGGCTGAGTCGCGGGAAGACGTTCACACGTTTGTAATCCCCGATCATTCCTGCTCCCTAAGCCTGGCAGTCTCTGTCACTTTAAACAAAAATGAGATTTCTGTTTCACTGCATGGGAGACACAGTTCACCTTCCTCACACCCATCCCAGAAGTGGTCTCAGAGATGAAATTACTGGTGCCAGAAAGCGCGTGCTGCTCCGCAGAACCCAGAGTCAAGGAGATGAAGGTGACCGGTTTTGCACTGATCACAGAAAGTTCTCACAGACACACCATCACAGCCAAGCAAGCAGGACACGCCAGCACAGATGTCGGGAAAGTCCTCTGTCGCAGGTGCCATCAGACACCAGGTGTGTAAGCAGAAGCCAAGTGCTGAGCACACTGGCAGCATCTTGTGAGCAGGAGCAGGGGCTGAGAGGGAGGGGTCTGCGCTCAGGGAGAGGATTCCAGATGGGCGCTCACAGACAAGGTGCAGGGAGACGTCAGGCCCCCTGGGACAGGAGGTGAGAGTGACTGCGTCTCATGAACCCTCAGAAAATGTCCCTCCTGCATGTCTTTTTCTGTGTTCAGTTTCAGCCAAGGGGGTAGGGAGAGAAGTCATGTCCACACCGTATTTCTTAGGAGGTTTCTAGAGAAACATTCTGCTTTCCTGGGAATCCGGCTCTCTGTCTAAAAAGATGGCCCACTTACCAAATGCCGTTGCTTGCTGGGACAGTAGCCACCATGGTCACGCCATGAGCACAAGTGCAAAGGGGGCATCTTATCCCCGAGATGAGGCTGGGAAACAATGAGGTCACCTCCCTGCTGGGGACTCATTATCCTTTCCCCTGGAAGTGCAGGGACAGTGTCTGCATGGGGAGTGGAAATTTTCCCAGAAAAACAACTGTGACATGTGCAAATTACTAAAAGCTATTAGGAACCATTTGTCATGATTAAGCAATTAGAGAGACAGACCGAGAACCGGGTAGAGAAAACACTTCTCAGGGGCCTGGACAAGACCAGGTGACAGTGACAGGGAGACAGGGACACTGAGGTCTGCGAAGGGAGAGAAGGAAGCTGAGAAGAAGGCTGCACGTCATTTTTTGCCAATCAGAAGGGTTTTGCCTCCAAAATATGATTATTTTTCAATTCTGATAACTTTGTACCATGGCAGCCTGGAAGGGAGAAGGAAAGAATCAGTTAGGACAAAATGGCTGAGGGTTAGAAATGACCTTGCAGAAAGTGCAGACACCTTTCCTCACAGCTTCAGTAGGCACCGGTCAAGCATCACTGTCTGCCACACATTGTTCTTGGTATCTGAAAGGGACCAGGGAAAATGAATCGCAAAGATCTGCCTCTGCTGAGCCAATATTATAGTCAAGAAAGATGGACAATAACAAATAATAAATAAAATCTTCGATGTGGTACATGATGGTAAGTGCCATGAAAGAAAAAAAAGAGCTGGGTTAGCGGATGAGCAGGACCCAGGGGAGGATGCACCATCTCCTGGGAGTAATGGGTGCCCTCATGCACAAGTGACTGTTTCAGGCAGTGCTTGAGAAAAGATGGAGGAGTAAGCCAGGCAGATGTCTTGTGTATATCACCCCAACCCAGGAAGCAGCAGTGTCATGTCCCAGGCAAAGCCAAGGGCCAGTGCACATGGAACCAGGTGTGAGACAGAGTGTAAGGAGGAGGTCGAGAAAAACACGGGAGAAAGACCTGTAAGGGTGTCCAGGTTTCTATGAGAATTTTGAATAACTCTAAGTAAAATGGGAGCCATCACAGGATTTGACCAAAATGCAGACACCACTGGTGAGTGGAGAATATGCTGCCGAGAAGAAGGGGAGGAAGAGGGATAACCGTCAGACAACCGATGAGCAAACCCACAGAAGACAAGATGGTGGCTCTGTCCAGGCTGGTCACAGAGACAGTGGTGCAAAGTGGTCCCACTGCAGATACATTGTGCGGACAGAGCCAGCAGGACGTGTGTAGGACTGGATGTGGGGAGTGAGAGCAAGAATGAATCAAGGATGGTCCCTGGTTTGTGGGCTCAGCAACTGGAAGGGTGAAGTTGGCCTCAACTGAGGGTGGGAAGGCTGTGGCCAGGGCAGCTCACATTCCTGTGAAAATCACACAAGCAAGTGAAAAATACTCCTCAGGTTGAATGCACATTTTACTCCTTATTAAACCATAGTAGGTAGATGTATAGTGTCCTATTTAACTGTCATATCGTACTATGAACATCTTACCTTCAATTGAAAGTGTCGTGAATGAGTTATTCTATTCATTTTTAAATGGTGAGACATGGTGTTAAGCTTCCGTCTGCAGCCTCACCTCTTACCACCCTCTCCACGCACAGAAACCTTCAGCCTCCTGTCTCTGCTCGCCTTCCCTGAATAGTCTGTGTCTGCACTTGCGTGCATTTTCATATCCCCTCATCTCCTCCCACTAACGCTTCGTGAACAAATGACACCCTTGTGAAGTTCCGTGGCTGCAGCTGTGGAGAGAAGAGACACAGAGCCTCTGCTCCCATGGACCTCACATGCTGGAGAAAGGCAAGTGTGATGAAATAGGGCCTGCCCTAGACTCTTCCCTGAGGACCTCTCACCTCTCCTCCAGGTTACTGCTGAGAATCCTTCTCTATCACCCACGGCTTCACTAACCCTTGCTCTGCCCTCGTTGTTCCCATAACATTCACATCTCCCTCACTTATTGCGGCACCATGTTATGATTGTTTGTCTTCCTACCCAACTGGTCCCTGGGCCGTGCATCACAGCGTCCCCGTGGCCACAGAGCTCCCAGGAGGTGTTTGTGGCATATGAAGGAAGACAGCAAATTCTTTGCTGTTCCTCCCACTGAAAAGTGAGTCTATTTCATCTCAGCCTGAAAGTGGATGACTTGCTTGACCAAAAGAATTGGTGGATGGATTTTTTTTCTTAATTTCTGAGAACAAGACAGAGAGTTTGCAGTTTCTGTGTGGGTCTCTTGAAACACCCTGGGCTGCCGTGTAAGAAGTCTACCCATGTGTAAGTGCCCTGGTTGAAAGTTCCCACTGAGCCCAGCCTTCCAGCCATCTATGAGAAGGCACAGCAACGTGAGTGAAGTCATCCCAGACATTCTAAACCAACCCACACAGCACCCGAGTATCGCCAAGTGATTGCCATTGATGCCACGGGGAAGAGCAGGCTCACCCAGCTGAGCCCTGTTCAATTTCCTGACCCCAAAATTATGAGAGCTAAGGCATTGTTTGATATTTTAAACCGCTAATGTTTGGTGTCATGTTTTTTTGCAACAATAGACAACAGCAAAAGTAATGAATTCTTTCACTCGCCTAATTCCTAGCCTCCTCCAAGGACAAGTGGACGTCCCACCCTCTCTTTGTAAATTCTTTCACAACTCACTTTTCCCTCTGGGGACCTGTCATGGTCCAATGAGCTGAAGAAAATGAAGAACTTACCTGACAGGTGAGGTTCTCTCCTTGAGAATTCAAGAGAAAAGAAAAATTCTAACCTGGAGAAATCAGGATATCTGAACTCTCCTGACTCTTTTCAGTGCCCCTCAGGCTTCCTTGAAGACACTCAGGGTCTCTGTCTCTCAGCCCCTGCAGAGACCAGCCTTGGGGGGCGACTCTCCTTCCGTCCCCACCCTGGCAGGCCAAGCTTATCCTCACGATGCAAACTACTGGACAAGTCAACCAGCAGATCAGGTATTATGGTCACCTGGAGGTGAGAGTGAACCATGCCCTGTGGCCCCTGACCCAGGACCTGTCTTTGGAGGATGTGCCCATGTTTGCTCAGGGAAGGCAGACACAGGCTTCACCTGGGAGGCAGGAGTGTGAGAGAAACCCTGCTTGGGTGTCAGGAGATCTGCATTCTGGTCTCAGGCCTGACACTTCCACTTTGTGTGACCTTGGGCAAGTCCCTTCCCCTCTCTCCCACACAGAGGTAGCCCTCTCTGTGACTGAGTCCCATTGTGGACAATGAGAAGGTTAGGCTGTTAGTTCTGGTGACCGTTTAAACAAACTAAGAGTTTTCTCCCACTTCATTGAAGCAAGATTTAGAAACAATAAAGTGCACCCATTTGAAGCACACAGTTCATTGAGTTGCGATAAATGTTTGCACTTGCGCAGCCACCACCATAATCAAAACACAGAACCTTCCCGTCTCCCTCAACATTCCTCGTATCCCGCTGCTGTCAGTCTCCCCCAGCCCAGATGACCACTGATTTGATTTCTGTCAATAGGTTTCTGTTACCTTTTCAAACATGCTATATACATGGAATACATACCGTGTGTTTGGCTTATTTTACTCAGCATGATGTTCCTGAGATTCCTCCATTCTGTGGCATTTAGCAATAGTTAACTGCTTATTGTTGCCGAGTAGTATCTCGTTCTATGGACATAGCACATTTTGTTTATCCATTTACCTATTTCAGGAGATTTGGTGTGTGTCCAGATTTGACTAGTATAGAATAAAGCTGCCAGGCAGTGATCACATTTATTCAAGAGATGAATGAATGGTTAAATACTATGCGTTGGCCAGTTCCTAGTCACATATATGGAGACACTAGACGACAACAGTGATCTGTGCACATCAGGACACAGAACTAGTGATTGCTAATCCTGGACAGGAGTCCCCAACCCCTTGGTTCAGTGACAATTTTCACTGGCTCTGTGTTTACCAATAATGAGGATTTCCTGTGTTTTGCAGATGTTGCCTTGGGATGACTCTGGCCAGTCCAAGTGGCATGAGCTGGGAAAGACTGATAGCTGATAAAGAATCCACTTTCAAGACAGGGCACTCGCTTGACAAGCATTTTGGTGCTGCTGCTCGGCTGGACTCTGGGGCAGGGTGCTGGGCAGCGTGTCAGATGGCTTTCAGCTGAGAGTGTGGGGGAGGCCAGGCCAACACCCTGAGATCCAGGGATGGGTACAGGCATGTTCCCTTTGATCCTACTCCACCCACAGTGGAAATCTCACAACCCAGCCAGAAGGAAAGACGGGAATGTGAGTGGGCAGGCTCAGGCCCAGGAAGGGGAGAAGCAACGTTAGCAGAAAATTTGCAGTCTCCACCACACAAACATTTTGTTAATTTTATCCTGAGTATCAGTAATCTTTCTTTGGTTATAAGGCAAATAATTTTCTTTTTAATTTCCTTTTTGGCCTTATGATTCTCATTTGTGGAAGTGTAATTTATTTTTGGATACTTATTTTATATGTGGCAAACTTCAGGAACCAGCATAACTACACCAGATATTCATGACATTAGTTTTTGAAAATCTTCTATGTAGATAATCATACAATTTGAGAGAAATTATAGGTCTATAAATGGTATTCCAATTAGTGTAATTCTTTTTTGTCTGTGTCATAGCCCCAGCGAGAATGTCTGGTATGATATTTAATTTAAGCACTAATAATGACAGCCTTGTTTGGTTGCTAATCTAAAACACAAAATTTCTGATATCTTCTTATGAAAATTCAGGTTTATTGTAGTGTTTTCATCGATAAACTTCAACTAGTTAAGGGTGTATCTTCCTATGCATGGTCTGGTGTTTCTATTGTGAATGGCTTTGTATTTTACTTTTTCTTTTTTTTTAGTCACGTGACTTTTTTACAGTTAATATGTTGAGTGCTATTAATGTATTTCCAATAATAAACCACTCTTGAAATCCTGAGATGCTTTCAACTTGTATTACAGTCTGTAAGCATAGTTGAAAATAATTAACAAGTTTTACAACAACGCTCTTCTAGCACCGTACAATGAGCTGGGGAACAGGAATCTCTGAAAGATTCCGAATAAGTTTGGATACATCCCTTCACTGACTGATTCATGGAACCCTCTTTCTGTAAGTCTGTCAGGGTTTGGGATTTTCTCTTGGAGATTATTTAAAAATAGGAAGTATGAAATAGATTTGATATTTTTTAATTTGATCAAGAAAGGCATGTCAGGGGATTTGACTTTTTTAACGTTTTTATTGTATTTACATTAAAATTTTTATTTTATTTTATTTTTCAATCTAAGCATTGAGTTAAAATTGACATAAAATTCTCTGATATTAGAGTGCACATGATATGCTGGTGATTTGATACCTGTGTACATCATAAAAGGATTCCCACAACAAGTTAACACATCCATCACCTATTTATCTTTTTTTTGTGTGAGAACATTTAAGTTCTATTCCCTTAGCAAATTTCCATTTTACAATACAGTGTTATCAGCTATACTCACTGCTTCTTACATTAGATCCTCCGACCTTGGTCCTGTTATAGCTGAAAGTTTGGCCCTTTCACCCACTTCCCCTATTTCCCACACTCCCAAACCCCCTGGGATCATTTTTATGGTCTCTGTTTCTATGACTTTGACTTTTTTTTAAATTGAGGTCATAATGGTTTATAACATCATGTAATTTCAGGTGTACATTATTGTTTATCAGTTTCTGTATAGACTGCATCATGCTCACCAATAGTCTAATTTTTATCCATCACCATACGTATGTGCCCCTTTATCCCTTTCACCTACCTAACTTTATTATTTTTTAAAGAATCTACATATGATACCATGTAGCATTTGTCTTTCTCTGTGTTGCTTATTTCACTTAGCATAATGTCCTCAACAGCCATCGATGTTGTCACAATTGGCAAGATTTCCTTCTTTCACATGGCTGAATAATATTGCATTATATATATATACCACATTTTCTTTGTCCATCATCCATTGACGGACACTTAGGTTGTTTCCATATCTTGGGTATTATGACTAATGCTGCAATGAACATGGAAATGCAGATATCGCTTCAATATCCTATGTTCATTTCCCTCGGAATTATACCCATAATTGGAATTTCTGGGTAGTACGGAGTTCTACTTTTAATTTTTTGAGGAACCTCCCTACACTTTTCCATGGGCTGCACCCGTTTACATTCCCACTAACAGTGCACAGGGGTTTCTTTTTCTCTACATCCTTGCTAACACTTCTTATCTCTTGTCTTTTTGACGGTAGCCATTCTAACAGGTGTGAGGTGCTATCTCACTGTGGTTTTGATTTGCATATCCTGATATTTAGTGATGTGAGCCCTTTTTGATGTGCCTGTTGGCCATTTGTCCATTTTCTTTGGATAAAAGTCTATTTGGTTCCTCTCCCCATTTTTAAATATTATTCTTTTCTATTGAGTTGTATAAGTTCTTTATATATTTTGGATATTAACCTTTTATCAGGTAAACCATTTGCAAATATTCTTTCCCATTTGGTAGGTTGCCTTTTCATTTTGTTGCTGGATTCCTTTGCTGTGCAGAAGCTTTTTAGTTCGATGTAGTCCCATTTGTTTATTTTTTATTTGTTCTTCTATTTGTTACCAAGACCAACGGCAAGGAGCTTATCCCCTATATTTTCTTCAAAGAGTATTATGGTTTCAGGTCTTATATAAGTCCAAGTCTTTCATCCATTTTGAGTTGATTTTTGTCTATGGTGTAAGATAGGTGTCCAGTTTTCCAAACACCACTTGTTGAAGAGACTATCCTTTCCCCATTGTGTCTTCTTGACTTTTTCTTTTCATAAATAAATTAACTATATTCACATGGGTTTATTTCCGGGCTCTCTATTCTGTCCCATTGATCTACATGTCTGTTTCTAGGCCAATGATGACATTTAAAAGCCTGTTCATTTCCATACCCTCATATTATTCTTGTGTTAGGCTTCATATTTATAAACTTGCATACACTCTGTGCAACAGTTATTCGGCTTAAGCTCATGCAACAGGCTGTGATGCAGCCCTACCCTTCCCATACCTCCATTCACAAAGTCTTCACAATCAGGTCAAGGGCAAGTTTTGTTAAACCAGAATGACTTGCATGCTTTCCAATTAGCTAAATAGGTCACCAACTAACTTTTGCCCTCTGTAGTCCTAAGGTCCTTTTTTCTTTTTCCCTTCCCCAAAGCCCCAATATATAGTTGTATGTCCTAGTTGTAAGTCTTTCTAGTTCTTCTATGTGAGCCACTGCCACAGTATGGTAACTGACAGACGGGTGGTGTGGTTCCGTGATCAGGAATCAAACCCAGGCTGCCAAAGTGGTAAGTGCTGAACTTTAACCACTAGGCCACCAGGCCTGGCTCCTAAGGCCATTTCTGGTTTTTCTTTTTTTCCTTTTTTTTTTGCTGAGGAGATAAGCCCTGAGCTAAGAGCTGTGCCAGTCTCCCTCTACTTTATGTATGGGTCACTGCCACAGTGTGGCTGACAGTGGTGTAGGGCTGTGCCCAGGATCCAAAACCACAAACCCAGGCCACTGAAGTGGAACACACTGAACTTAACCACTATGCCACAGGGGCCAGCCCCTCCTAAGGTCATTTCTAACCCAGGCATACCTGAATAATTTTAAGAGGAAATCTCAATAGAAAATTATACCTTTGCCTGATGACAGCTAATGGATGCTGTCAAGCAATGAAGTCACAGTAGATAAAGCAGTTTCCTTACCCACACTGACCCCATGGGGTCACTCACAGTCAGAACCTTCATAAAGTGAGCACTCGCTGGCTTGCTCTAACTTTGTCTTTCTCAGTTATTTCATTTCTTTCCATGTTTATCCCACTATTCATTATCTATTGCCCTGTTCTGCCACATGCCAAACTGGGTGAGGAGTGTGGGACAGGTTGTCGAGAGACCAAAGAAAAGACCTGGAGACAGGGAACAAGACATATAGGTTTACTGGGGAGTTACTTATAGGGAAGGTCCAGTGGCACCGGCTGGACAGGAAATGTGCACACACTAATGCCCCCTGAGAGAAGCTTGCTTACGTAGGCAGAGGAACAAAGGCCGCATGCCTGTCAAGGGGGATCATCCCCGTATGACCTGCATTCCAAGGACCAGAGCCCTCCTGGAGGGCCTCTGTGTTCCCTCAGACTGCGAGGGTCTTTGTTCTGACTCTCTCATGAGAAAACAGCTGGGTTAGCCAAGCCCAGGACTGTTATCATCATTAGTACTGAGCCATAGCCCAGACAAGGAGCCTCAAGGACACATGGTTTAAAGGGCACGTGTGCTAGTGCCCCTATACTCTGCCCTCCATGTGTCCGAATGGCCCTTACAATCTTATTGTGCCAGTCTTCTGCAGCTTCCCTTGAGCGAGACACAGAGGAGCACTGCAGCCAGAGATCACAACGGCAATAGAGAGCACAACATGAAAATAAAAGAAGTAGTTAAAAGGCAAGGACACCAAAGAAAACACGTCACCAGGTGGAGGGGAGGGATTGTATCCAGGCAGATATGGAGTCAGTGAACAGGTTGTCAATAGCCTGTACATGAGCAAATAAGGAGGCCACTGCAGAGGAAACATTGTGGGCATAATCAGGGATAAATACACAGCATTCTACTTTGATCAGGGGACAGGTTCCCCCTTGGGCTGCAGTAAGTATGTCCAAAGCCATTCTATTTTGTAACACTACTTGTCTCATTTGGGAGGTTTCTTCATTTAGTAGAGTTATTGCATGTCTCGTATCATTGAGGACTTTTACCACATGTTGGGCTAGGGCAAACACCTGCCATTCTATATCAATAACTGCAGCCTGTGGGGAGAAGATAGCAAGGGGGTAAAAGCACCCTGCAGTGCGTCGCACACGATGGCGTGCATGGACTGCCTCCCAATTAGAAGGAAGCTATTGAAGGGAAGACAGGATGCATGCAGGGATGTAGGGACGCCCCCATGTGCATCTGCCAGTCCAGTTATAAGGCAGATAGGGCCAGCCACAAGTGCCACAAGCCCACAATCACCCAGAGGAGAGGCATAGTCTCCTTTGATGGTGTTGTCTTGTTTTCCCAGCCATATATCAGCAGTAATAATAATTGTTTGGTGACACATTGCTTTACATGTCTACCCCGCATTTTTTGAGATGCTTTCATTTGGTGGTGTGGAGTCATTGTGACGTTCAATGCACCAGGGAACGGAACCTCTTAATTCTATTTGTATAGCAGTTAACCATCCTACACCTTCAAGAACAGAGTACCCCACCTTTGGGGTTATATTTACCTGCTCATGAACAAGCTGGAAGATATACTTTCAAGAAGTAGCATAAGAGGGCAAGGACAGGTTTCTTGGTGGGAGGGGAGTAGAAGTGGGAAAGTGGACGATGCTCTTCCACTCTCGCCGGGCTCTCCAGTCAGAGGTGTTGGAGCTCAGGAACGCCATGGTAACCCTGTGGTTGAAGAGAGAGGCAGCTCACTGCACACCAAGCAGTTGGAGTGATTTTGTACACCAGCAACAGTGTGTGCCCAAGCAGCGAAAAGGTTGGCAGACGTCCTAAGAACGAAAAGTAAGATGTTTAGATGAGACTATAAGGGGGAGGTCATGACCGTCCAGCAAGACATACACAGTTGCAGTGTCTTAAGTCAGTATGGTACTGGTCTGTGGTTCCAGACCAGGCTGGCAATACCACACTGCTTGTCCAGTTGGTGTGGGCACTGCAGGGACACAGATATAGGAGAAGGGAGGAACAACAACCTACCAGAAAGAAAGGATGAACGTACCTTGGGGAATTGGAGGCCTTCGATTAGTAAGTTTGGAGGTTTTAGATGGCTTCTCCACAATGAAGGGTGTTACTATGATATCTTCTTCTAAGCCTGTTCCCCAAGGGGCTAAGAGACCCCACCAGCCAGGCCCCAGCTCCCAGTCCCAGGGCGAAGTGACCATGTGGATCCCGGTAGGGAGTTCTTGTGGCAGAGGCAAAATCAAGTTGTTCTGAATGCCAACCTGTGGTTGTAGTGTCTCTCCTTGATTAGCCCTTGTCTGTAGATGTCTGGCATATCAGGTCCTTGTGTCAACATTTGATATGCAGTGGGTCAGGTGCGCCTCTCACGTTCACTCAGTTGACGTATTGCAGTTGTCAGGCCTCTTGTCCAGTGGGCTAGGGTCCTGTCTTCTGTCTTCAGCTGTTTCAGAAGCCATCCATTTGTTCCACCAGCCCTGCAGCCGTGGGGTTGTATGGCAGGTGAAAATGCCAATATATGTCCATTTGATCAGCCCATGTCTGTACCTGGTGGCCAGTAAAATGCATACCTTGGTCACTGTCGATGTTTGTGGGAACACCGTACCCAGCACAGAGGTATCCCAGGCCACTTATGGTGGTCTTCTGTGTGGCCCTCTTGCTGGGGTATACCTGTAGCTGTCCTGTATACGTATCCACACAAGTGAGGGCATACCTGCAGCCATCAGAGAGAGGCAAGGGCCCAATGTAGGCCACCTGCCAGTGTTGAGAAGGCTGGTTGCCGCTAGCAATTTGGCTTGTGTTCAGGGGAATGGCCTAGGGTTTCTGCAAGGAACAAGAAGGGCACACCTGACAGACCTGCACCACATCAGCGTAGGACAGGGAGAGGCCCAAAGCCTTGGCAGTAGCCTATAGGGTCCTTTGTCCTTTGTGTAGAGTCTTCTTGTGTAGCCACTCTGCCACTCTCTCGGCTGGTATTTCTTTCAGGAGATGGATCCGGAGCCAACTCGTCTGCTTGTTGGTTTCCTGGCAGCGTTGTCGCCTGAGATACAGACACATGGTACACTGCTATTGTCATTCCCTGGACCTGCTGCCAAATATCATCCTGGAGCTCTATCCCCCACAGCAGGTGACCATTAATAGTCCACTGTCATGTCCATTGTGCCATCCACAGGGTGAGCCCGCTTCCACAATTGAGACCAGAAGCCACCGGGCACTCATTTATTACCTTGCCTCTGTCAGAGATTCCATCCGAACCCCTCTGGGTAACCAGAAACGTCCAATTCACACGGTTGTCCTTGTGACAAACATCCAAGGACTTGATTTGTTTCACTGCTATTTTGGCTTGGGTGAAGGCCCGGTGGTCTGCCAGTCCCTTTTGCACCAACTTACAAAGAGGATAGACAGCCTGGATCTTATCTATGACAGTAGCAGGAACCACTTTTGTCTTACCGGACCAGACAACACCCAGATATTTGACAGACAACCCAGACCCTTGTACTCTGTTGTCGTTCACCACCCATCTTCCCTGGTGTAGGTGGGTGACGAGGGAGCGGGAGGCTTCTTGAAGGTCTGGAAAAGACTGGGAGGTTAACACGACATCATCAATATAATGAAACAAGGCAACATCAGGGGGCTTTGTGCACCTGCGGTGCTATAGAACCATTGCCGCAGGCTGGGGTGAGAAGCGCCGGAAGCCATTTTACTCATTTCCACCCCCGACGAAATGCCTTCTGTTTCTGTAGACCAACACGTTGTTATGTCATGTGGCCTCCGGTCCCCCATACCCGAGCCACCTGCAAGGCACTGCAGGGATGGGTCAATGTCCCTTGGCCTTCCCTCTAGTGGAGGGGACTAGGGTGTTCTCAGGCTGTCACTGGGGGCGCTGTTAAAGCCACCAGAACAGCTTTTGGTTGTTTATCACTTTTCCCCGCAGGGGTGTTTTCTGCTCCCCGGGGCTGCGGCAGCCACCACACAGAGTGCTCTCTCCCTCCGCGCTTTGCTCAGCCTCAGTGGTGCTGCCCACCCAGAGGAGGGAGGGATGGAGAGTCCCGGCCACCAGCCACTCGGGACTCAGGGACCCGCTTCGCCCCGCCTCCGCCCCGCTGCCAGTGGCTGGACCACGCACTCCCCGCGCCCCCTGCCCCGCAGGCGCTTCGCGCCCAGGCGCCGCAGGGCCTGCCCTGGCCCTGCCAGCACCCACGCACCAGAGGCCGAGCAGAGGCAGCGGCGCTTCTTGTGACTGCCTTACTTTTGATAAATTGAAACTCATTCATTTTAATCTCAGCCAAACTGACCACACACAAAACTCCTCAGGGTTTTACTTCCACAAACCTTCTGGCACTTTTTATATTCAGAATTTGTCTCATGCCTTCTCTTGTTTTCTTTCATAGTACTTTAGGACAAATTTATCTTTCTTAAAAAAACAAAGAAAAATATCTTTATTCTTTATACCTTCTTTACTGAAAACATACGTTTTACTTTCCCTGTATACAGACTTTCTAGAAATATGGGCTTTCTCATCATTTATCACGCCCAGGACTTCCCCTGCCTTCATTGCTAGCCATCCCACGGTGAGGAGGGGCTACCCCACAGGCGTAGCAACAGCCTGGGCTTTTCTCACACCCAAGACTTACCCCTAGGCGTTGACGTTTGATGTTTTCAGGGCGTTCCAATACTCACAAGGTGGGCCCCATCCATCAAAGATTGTGGCAACCGGGCCCCACAGGGAGGATATCAGCCAAGCCGGGGTTACCCCCACAGATTTCCCTTTCCCATCCCCCATAGTCTTGGTGCTCATGGGGTTTTTCTCAGTCTCCCGGCTGGCTCACCAGCCATATGCCCAGCTCGGTGAGGAGTGTGGGATAGGTTGTTGAGAGACCAAAGAAAAGATCCAGAGACAGGGAATGAGACATATGGCTTTACTGGGAGTTACTTATAAGGAAGGTCCAATGGCGCCGGCTGGACAGGAAATGTGTAGCCACTACTGCCCCCTGAGAGAAGCTTGTTTAAGTAGGCAGAGGAACAAAGGCTGCATGCTTGGCATGGGAGATCATCCCAGTATGACCTGCATTCCAAGGACCAGAGCCCTGCTGGACAGCCTCTGTGTTCCCTCAGACTTCGAGGGTCTTTGTGTTAACTCTCCCATGAGAAAACCGCTGGGTTGGCCAAGCCCAGGACTGTTATCAATGTGAGAGCTGGTGCATAGCCCAGACAAGGAGCCTCAAGGACACATGGCTTAAAGGGGTACAAAGGGGAGTTGGCCCCATGGCCAAGTCGTTAAGTTCACGTGCTCTGCTTCGGCAGCCCAGGGTTTCACTGGTTTGGGGGGATTTGGGGAGAAAAAGCAGAACAAAAAGGGGGCACATAAGCTAGTGCCCTTACATGCCCCTGTAACAAATCACTGCAAACTCAGAGGCTTACAACACTTGCAAACGTATCATCCCACAGTTTCTGTAGACAACCTATAGCAGAATCTTGGTTTTTGACTCAGTCTGAAAATCTCTTAGAATTGGTCTTTGAATTAGTCTTCTGCCATTCAAAGAGATTATTGATTCAGTTGAAATAATAGCTACCATGTTTGTTACTAATTTCCATTTTGTTCCAATTTTTGTCTTCCACTCTTTATCTGTTCCGTGTGGTTTTGTATATTTTTTAAAGATTTTATTTTTCCTTTTTCTCCCCAAAGCCCCATGGTATATAGTTGTATATTTTTAGTTGTGGATCCCTCTAGTTGTGGCATGTGGGACGCCACCTCAGCATGGCCTGAGTGGTGCCATGTCCATGCCCAGGATCCAAACTGGCCAAACCCAGGGCTGTTGAAGTGGAGTGTGCGAACTTAACCACTCGGCCATAGGGCCAGCACCTGTTGTGTGTGGTTTTAACTGAGCATTTTATATGATTTCATTTTCTCTCATTTCTTAGCATATCAGTTATGCCTCACTTTTTACTTCCCTTAGTTTTTGTCCTAGAGTTTGCAATCAACATTGACAATCCAAGTCCACTTTGAAATAACACTATACCACCTCCTGGGTAGTGTGAGTACCTTATACTAACAAAATTACCCCAATTCCTCCCTCCAGTCACTTGTACCATTGAGGTCATTCATCCTACTTATGTAAAAGCATAATAAGCATATATACACACACATACACATAACATATGCAGATAGAATACATTGTTGGTATTACTATTTTGAACAAAGTGTTCTCTGTTAGATCAATTAAGAATAAGAAAAATATTTTTTATTTTTCCTTCGCTTATTCCTTCTTCGACACTATTCTTTCTTTATCTAGATCCGAGTATCTGACCAAGATCATTCTCCTTGTCTCTAAAGAAGTGCTGTTACATTTCTTGGAAGGCAGGCGCTATGGTCTGAACGTTTGTGTCCCCGCAAATTCATGTTGAAACCCTAACCCCTGAAGATGATAGTGTTGGAGCCGGGCCTTTGGGAGGTGCTCAGGGCACCAGGTTGGGGCCCGCGTGAACGGGACCAGTGCCCTTAGGAAGAGCCTCAGAGACCCCCAGCTCCTCCCCCCACGTGAGGACGCAACAAGAAGGGCTGACTCCGCACCGGGAAGAGGGTCCTCACCGCAGAACTCGCCCAGGCTGGCGCCTTGACCCGGGCTGCCCAGCCTCCAGCGCTGGGAGAAACAAACGCTGACTCTCACACGCCACCCCGCCTGGGGCATTTCGGCACAGCGCCCCGAACGGACCGAGCTGGCAGGTTTACGGGCCACCAAGCCCTCACTTTTTGCTTGGCTGACGGAGGCTCCGTCTCCCTGCACCGATGGAGGGTAATTTTGTGGGCACGCAGCTCTAGGAAGGTCAGTTTGCTCTCAACACTGTCCGGGCTTCTGAGGAGACGGCGGCGGTCGCTCTCGGTCCCCTAGAGGGGAGGGGTTTCCCCTCGGGCTTCTTTCACGAAGATCCCCTGACTTCGATCTCCCGTCGTTTGCAAACGACATGCTACCCGGGGGTCTCGGCATCTTCCCTGCTGTGCGGTCTCTGGGCGTCTGCGTCTGGGGCTCGCCGGCTGACGGCCGTCTCTCCCTCGACGTCAGACCTCGGACGCCGAGTCGCCGAGTCGCCCGCCGACGTCCCCGCGCCGCCAGGGGGCGCCCGAGCGGCGGGACCGGCGGCTCCGCGCGTCCCGGGCCGCGGGGCGGAGGGCGGGGCGCTGCCGGGCAGGCGGGAGCGGGGTCGGCGCCGGGCCGCGGCCTCAGGGGCCTCCCGGGCAGCAGCGCAGGGAGCCGTGGGCGGGCGTCCCTTCTGGTCCCACGCGGCCCGGGTCTCGAAGCGGTGGCGCCGCGGAGGAAAGACCTGCCCAGGGTCCCGGGGGCGCGGGGGCCGCCGCCCCAGCGGGAAGGCGGGAGTCCTCCCGGAGTCGGGGCGCCGGGAGAAGCGGCCCACAGCGCGGGCAATGCCCGGCAGGGGACCCCGCTGGGAGACCACCCGGCAGTGAGGACGGAGGGAAGGGGGCCAATGGCGAGACGGACAGCGGTCCGAGGGGACCCGCTCACAAGGTCCCGGGTGGGGTCGGAGGCGACACCGGAACCGCAGGTGTCAGCTCTGAGCCCTCGTTGTTAAGGCGAGGCCACTCGGGTCTCCGAGACCCCCGACGTTCGGGGAGGACCCTCGCCGCTGACCCGCGTGTGAGGCCTCTGCCGCCTCCCGCCTTCCCGCCTTCCCGCAGCTGCTGCCCGGCCTGGGGGAGTGTCCCGCACACGCCAAGGCTGGTTTCCCGCCAAAGCCCGCGGACCCGAGTGGAATCTTCCACTCCTTCTCTGAGCACATCTCGCTTCCACGGTGGGAGCACTGACACTTGGGGAATTGGCAAACACTACGTACGAACCGGGGCTAGATTTACTGTATTACTGAATGCCGGGACTCAAGCGATGGACGTTAAGGTCATAATGCGGACGAAACTTAGCCACGTAGGGTGTTTCTGACCATGACATTATGTGTGACACACACAGTCTGAGGAAAACAATGAGGAAATATCCTTCCAGTATTTAGAAATAATGACTCCATACAGAAAAATGTCGCTCAGGCTGTCTTAAGAGTAAAATTCCAGCATGTCTTTGTTGTTTCAGTGTCTTATTTGAAAATGAAAAGGGAAATAGCCATAACTCATATGAAAGAAAATAGGCAAATGGGATGAACAGAAATTGTACAAAAAATAAACAACTGGCAAAGAAAGACATGAAAAAAGGCTCAAAATCAAGAATCTTTTTGGCAATGCAATTAAAGACACTGAGAAAGCACCACACACTTATCAATGGCTGAAACTGAAGGAGGACCACATCAAGTACTGGCAGGGATTTGGAGGAAACGGAACTTTGACACACTGCTGGTGGGAAAGCAAAAGGGAGAAATCATGTTAGATCACAGTCTGGTAGTTTTTCATGAGTTAAACATTCATCTACCCTGTGACTCAGACACTGCACTCTATGTTATTGACAAAAGATAAAAGAAACAACCATACAAAGAACTAATACGAATGTCTGCAACACCTTTATTTTCAATTGTTTAAATCTAGAAACAAGCTAAACCACCATAAAAAGATGAATGGATGAACAGTGGTATATCCAAAGATAAGAATATTACTCAGAAATAAAAGATGAACTTCTCATTTATCATTGGTAAATCTCTAATTATGAAACATAAAGGAAATCAGTAAAAAACAAAAAACAAACCCCAATAGACTAAACAGCTTATGATTCCAATCCTATAAATTCAAGAAAATGCAAAGGTATCTTTATAAAGGAAGGTAAATGAATGGTTAGCTGGAGAGATGGGAAAGGCAAGGAGAGATTATGATAGGATGTCAGGCAAATATACTGAGACAGATAAGGTCATTATCAGGACTATGATGATGGTTTCAGAACTTCACACTCATGTCAAAACATCAAATTGTACACTTTACATACATGTAGTTTAGTACATGTAAATTATACCTTAATAACACTTTAAAAAGTGGTTTAGGATGAAAAAAAATGTATGCCCTACTCTTTTTGGAAAATAGGTTTGGCAACCCTTTATTGACTCCACCACCTGTCTCCTCATGCCCTCTGGGGAGTCAGTCTTCCCTCAGTGACAACAAATATGGGGAACAATGAAGGACATTTCCACCCAAGTCAACAGGAATGCTGCCTGGATCACAAGAGCCACATCCCTGGGCTGTGGATCCCCATTCTTCTTTCCTGCCTATGCAGTAATGGCCTTGAGGTGAACAGCACTGGGAGGCTACAGAAATCCACAAAATCTTTTATTTTTGATGACAATGACATCAGCTACACAAAATAAACATGCCTGGTGGTGATCAGATTTGTGTACAAACTGATCCTGCATAGTCACTGCCACAGAACCATTTCTGGATGC